CAATCGGAAAAGACAAGCATTCTTTGCTAATTTTTTGTAGAAAAGCGTTGATATTGGATAAGAAGAAAGTCAAGGACATTTTTTGTAGAATAAAACGCAAGTGACTATTTCACACCCGACATCTTGCGTCAACACTCCAACGACCAAGGTTATTGCTTCAATAGCTGAACCACTTGTAATGCGACTTTCTTTCAAGCAAAATAATTTCACACTGCAATAGTCTTTTTTGTGAGTAAAGGTCAAACATCTATACAACCCTTGCAATAGTATATTCAATGAGCCGAGTTTTCGAAGTGTATCCGAAAGCATGTATTAAAATTTGTACAAATATGTGATGAGGAAGATTGTCATGCAACATTCCAAGTCGTTGTAAAAGAGTTCTATTTAAGGTGTGTCTGCGAACACAAAAAACAACTGCTTCAGACGGACGGACGAGTTTAATTAACTAGGAACTTGTTTTGTTTTATTGTAAACTATTTTTACCGCGATGCTGTAACTCACATTCTATGTTTCTATTACTCGTGCAACCATGCCCCCTAATCAATTAAAAGATAATTCCCGATTCGATTATACACTAGCTGTCGCCCGGCTAACAATTAAAAAAAATCATAATAGCCATTGTGTTCCAGACTATGTTCTACATCTATGCACAATTTCAGCCAGGTAGTAACAAATATCCTTCCATCCATCTAAACTTTTGCATTTATATTAGTAAAAAGATTAACTAGGATCTTTCTTTGCTTCTACCTAATTACTATAAACTTTACAAATCGTACAGGTAAAGCCTACATAGCCACAAAAACAGGTGTAAGCCGAGAAAACATTTAAGAAATGTAGCGAATAATTTTTAGCAGCAGGTGTATTTCCTATGGCCTTGGTTAATTTCTTCGCCGGTATAATATATTTGTGCAAGTCAAAAATATTTATTTTCGGATCTGGATGTTTTATTGCTCTGCGTCAGATTACGGAGGAAAAAAACTCAAGTGCTTCGGTAATAGAGAAAATTATCGGCCCAGTATTCTTTGTATATTTTTTTTCAAATAGATTGGCGGCCTCAATTCATCGACACATTGCACCTACAACCAAAAAGGTGTTCTAAACAGAGACTTCCACAAAGTCAATAGTCCCCAAGATATCTGATAAGTACCATACATGATGTTATTATTTCTATTTTTTCAATGACAATGAGCGGAATAATAATGTTCTTGTAATATTTGTTCTTGTAGTATTGATAAGGCAAAGAACAGCACTAATCACTGACGTACATTCCTTAAAGACACATGACGCACATGGTCTTTTTTTTATAATATAAGGTGGTAAACGAGCAAGCGGCCACCTGAATCCACCGAAATGGAAAGCGGCCGCTGCCCATAAACATCCGCAATTGCAGATGTATTGCCTACCCTTAATTGACGGAAGAGAAGACGTACATAAAGAGGAAATTTCCCCTTCGTATGCGTCTTCTCCGCCGCCAAATCCACTTTTCCTTCCCATCCTTTCCTCTAACAAAAATTAGGCTTCCGGCACCATACTCATCAGACGAAACGCGGAATTGCTACCACTCTACACCTGTTTTCTGTGTGGTCGTGGTATTACATCGGACGAGCCGGCCTAATCGTTCGGAGATGTTAAAGCGGGCTCTACGACTGTTAACTAGGTCGTATTATTTAGGACTTTTTTACGTCTGACTTCTGTTCGCTGAAGTAAACGTCAATGGACACTCGAATATTGTGTTCGTCGTGAGATTGAATACAAACAAATAGTTTTTTTATCGTTATTTGCAGCGTGGAGTTGATGAATACAAATGTCAGTATAATTCAGTTGAACGATGCAAATGTATTCTCCGCGCCTTTATCATTTATTACGTGTCCCAGTCGCATGTTAAAGCATTGTCTGAGATAAGTGGCTGTCAATCCGCTTACTTGTAGTTGAAATAAACAGTAGAACGTCGATAACTCAAACCTCGGTAACTTAAAACCTCTATAACTTCAAAAAATAATATGTTTCCTTCCCATCAGAGCCCAAAACCTCTACAACATAGACCCTTGATAACTTAAAACCTATACAGCTTAAAACATTTTGTGTTTCCCTTGGACTTTAACTTATCGAGGTTCTACTGTAGTAAGTGAGAAACACACATATTTCATGTAACTAATTATTTTGAGAGTTAAAGATAGCATCAAGTCCTAGTTTTTCGTAAGTTAAAATATGTTCTGTACGTATAAGATACCTATTAAATGAATGGAAATATTCTTGGAGATATTCTTATTATTAAAAATGTAATTAAAGACTACGCTCCTTTATGTTAAATTTCATGGAGATCCGTTTACACGTTTACGAGAGACCTTTTAACAAACATACATCCAAACTCACTTTCGCATTGATATTAGTACTAAGAATTAAGATTTATTAGATAACTATGAATAAAATTAGAAGATGTATTAATAATTTAAAAGCTTTTCTAAAATGAAGACGTAGAATGTACTTTTAAGTTAACAGCGTATGCTAAAATAACTTGGTACCAGAGTAAGTTATGTTCTTGTTATGTAAAAGCTTTTAAGGCATCATAACTTGTACATTAAGTACAATAGCAGTTGAGATATTAAAGTCGTGGGACGTTGACTTTTCAAGTTTACTTTTTCGTTTTAAATTATTACGACGTAGAAAAAATATAAAGGTCTACTTTTGGCTAACGACAAACTTGCATTAAAACATGATACTAGTAAAATTGCAAACAATACATAGTGATACACGATAGTCTATTTTTTTTTATTACATCGATGGTAAACATCATATCGATGTTTACGGCAATGCGTCGAAGCCCGCAATGTATACGTGCAGCGGCCTTCGCTGCGAACCCGGTCGACTTGACCCTATCGCGAGGTTGGCCAACTGGGTCGCAACTAGGGTTACCATCTAAGCGAAAGTTAAAGGAGAAAAATGACAAATTACATGCCTTACAAATAAATTCACGAAAGCCTTATGATTTTTTTAAAACTATATGGTCCTAAATTTAGAATTTCTTTTACTAGTCCTTTTAGTAAATGTCTTGCTACACAAATGTAAAAAAAATTATGAACATAGGTTAGTTATAAAACAATTTTTTTTATAAAACTTTTGCTACACTAATTATATTACAATATTTTGCTTATCACTGCGTTTAACAGACAGATCGGCCATAGTGTCACTGGCCATCTATGCCCACAACCGGTTTGGGTATGCAAATTGTTAGCCTGACATTGCACCAAGCAATCTTAGTCACAACATAAAACAACACAAATGACATTTGTTACAATCTAGATTAGAGTATTTTCAAAAATATGTTCATGTTTGGATGAAGCAGCTGAGGTAACAGAATTAGGTGAATGGAAGCTAAGCATATTTGTTAATCATACTATGTATAACTGTTATGTTTGTCAGTTTTTAAGTGCAATCTATATGCTTATTTATTTCCAAATCTAGCATAGTACTCAGTCATCATTCCTGGAAGTCAGTGCTGACCAGACTGTGCATGTGAGCATAATTATTTTAATTATAGTTTATCACATGGGATCTCAAGTGAAGACAAATCTGCACCATTTACCCCTAACTTAGGGTATACTCTGAGCCCTTCAGTGAGGACTTATTGAGAGCTTATGATGAAAATATGGGATCATTATATTTTATTGAAGAACTAGCTGTTCCCATGCGATTTCATTAACATAAAATTATTTTATTGTTTACATGTGTCAAATTGTCAATTGCAAATGTCAAAATGACATGACATGACAAAACTTGACAATCTTGCTTCCTTGATGTTGGCTTATGGTCTATTTCCCACATTAGGGTTTTTATCCAAAATATTTACCCCCTAAGTTTAATGTTGTGAAAATATATAGCCTAAAGCCTGATGTAAGTGTAGGGCTTTTATTAAAAAGAGGATTATTCCAAAAATATGCTGTAATTGCTGACATCTTAGACAACAAAGAAATGTGTGTTTACGCTTTATTATAATAGTAAAGAGTAAAAATATAGATAGTATAGATTAAAGAATATAGCATGATTTCTAAAAAACATTTGTCATGTCTTTATCTTAAATTAAATGACAAAAACAATTAACCAACAACTAAGATACTTCATTTTTTATTGCCATCAAAAAAAAAACAAAGATTATAAATCAACCATAATCTGCTTGATCTCCAAAACTGTCCTACATAATCAACAAGTGTGAGATCTGTATGATTTATCAGAGCAAAGTGTGACTCACACAAGGTCACATCACATCTGCTGTGTGACATTGACCAGAAAAAATGGACAACCGTCATCTGTTTGCGAATACACTTTAAATACATTTACCTTTGTTCGTGAAATCTTAGCATATTGAAATGTATCTATATTGTGATTATTTACTTAAAAAAATATTGTAAATTTAACATTAGCATTGGAATAACTAGAGAACAAATCAACTTACAATATACTTATATCACTGATTAATTTACTTATAGGACTATGGATCTTAAAAGTCAAGAAACATAAAAACTAAACAAAGAAAATCATAAAGAAGCATCCCTTTTTTTAACATGTAACTGCAAAAACTGTTAATAATTATTTTGCAAAAATATAGCCATAACTATAGTGTATTAAATGATTTTTTAGTTATGGTCCAAATATATGCTCTAAATGACAAATAAAATTTGCAATTCATGTCTATATGTAATAGGCATAACTGAAGAACTTGTAAGTGCTTGTATTTTGTTTTTTTTTTTATCTGTATCAGGACCTATAACATTATTTTATATTGCCACTTATTATATTTACTAGAAAAATAATACGCATTAATTGAATTTTATGATAAGGGTGATATGACACAGTTAAAGATCTGATAATGTTTTGCAATTTATAATGCAAAATATATAAGAGAAGCTAATAAAATTCACAAAACCACTAATGTACCCGAATACATCTCATAACCTAGAAAACTGAGGCAATTATAGAGTACAGTTATGTCTCCATGAACTTACCAACTGCCGCGAATTCATCGGGTGTTCTGCCACCAGCCAACAGCCATCGACACCAATCTATCGTTTCCCATTCGTCAATAGCTTTGCTAGGGTTTAGCAGCACATCCAAAAGTGGCCCCAAGTGCTGGGGCGACCCACTGGCGCAGTCCGCATGTATGTACGAGGCTGCCCCCCTTTTACCCTTCTTCATTAACACTTGGGCTGTCGAATTAGACATTGTAATACACTATTCACTATAACTGGCTTCGACTTTAAACACCGAACACATAAGTCACTATATATTTCGGTCACTCACGGAAGAAACACCATTTCCAGTTTTACATAAGGCAATGAACTGCGGCCCGTAACGCATCCGCGGTCAAACATGTTTTAAAAGCATAAAAATCATCAGAGTTAGAGAAAAACACAAAATCTTTTAAAACGAAAGAAATTACGTTAAAACTAGCACGAATGAACGAAAATTTATTAAATTTAACAATTGAAAATAATAATAGAGTAATGCAGAAACAACTCGGCCATTTAAAAATGTTGCCAATTTATTAACAATATTTTTAAAGCTACAGTTGATTGTGATACGAGGAAAATTATGTTTACTTTTTCAATTATTACAAAACCTTTCATTTTAACAACAGTGTTAATAACCTTTCTTGTTAAACACATTTTCTTTAATTGTACCGTCCGATTGCTGCTGAATTTAACATTATACAACGTTGTCAATAAACTTAACTAGTTTTTTACATGCTATCTGAACAAAGGCAGTATGCATTTAGACAGATCAGCTTTGTAAAGCATTCATTTGTCTTAACAAACACTAATTAAAGTGCAAAATAGGATCTGGGATTCTGTTATTTGGAAGGATTCCATGGGAGAACACGTCCAACAAGCATGTAGTAACTGGTAACATTGATTCAGTTTCTGTCAAATAGCTATGCTAACGCCATCATATCGCATGGTTATAAATATGGATTTAAAGATTTATTTGTTTGAATTTAACAAATAATAGCGAGGTCTCTTTATTTTAGAGCGAATTATTGATTACCAAAAGTTCTGTGTTTTGACATTCCCTTTTTTGTAAGTTATAATTCTTGAATAAGTGATAAATACCACGACATACACAATGGAAGAAGACAAAAAGGTTATGTTTCATGAAATGGAATTAGATGATAGAATACTGAAGGTTAGTAAATTTAATATGTGAATAAAAACATGATTTTATAAAAGACGTGTTTTGTTTAATATGTTATGTATATAGGAAGTAAATAAAGTAATCATGTAATTGCGCAGGCTATATCCTTACTGGCATGGCCACATCCAACATTGATTCAAGAAACAGCAATACCTCTCCTTCTGGAAGGCAAAGACGTACTCATCAGAGCCAGAACTGGTTCAGGGAAGACAGCAGCGTTCGCAATACCTGTAATACAGAAGATATTGAATTTGAAGAATACAAGTACACACCAATGTATACGAGCTGTAATATTGTCTCCTAGTAAGGAGTTATGTGGACAGGTATAAGATATATAACCTATACAAATATATTAACCATAGACAAACTGAAAATTTTACATAAACTTTTACATACTTGAAATTCAATGCAATGTGGTACTATAACAATGGCAGCTGATGAGCCACAAACTGCGTGGTAAATTGTAATTCTTGTAAATCATATCTCTGTGGATGTACACATTGTACTGATCTGGTAGCCGGTTCACTAATCTGTAGCTTATCAATTTTAGCTTTGCAAATAGCCAATATTCTAATAGTTTTTACTTCTTTAGATTGCATCAGTAATTGGTGATTTAACAATCAAATGTGCAAGAGAGGTCCGCTGCATAGATATATCCTCTAGTGGAGATATGCAAATACAAAAGTCCCTGTTATCAGATAAACCCGACATTGTTGTGGCGACACCTTCAAGAGCACTGGCACATTTAAAAGCAAAAAATATGAGGTTAAAAGAAGATCTATCTATGTTAGTTGTAGATGAAGCTGATTTAGTGTTTTCTTTTGGTTATGAAGATGAAATCAAAGAACTCTTAAGGTTAGTGTTTTGTTTTATAGTGTGATTTCACACATCTTTTATAAAGTTGTAAGTGTACAGTCACCTGCTTAATTATTTATACACTAGCTTCGCCTGCGACTCCATTTGCGTGGAATTAAAAAAATACAAAAGTGAGTAGCCTATGTGTCCTTCCAGACTATCCTCTACATCTATACCAAATTTCATTGAGGTCCATATAGACATTCAGGCTACAATCTCTAACAAACATCCATCCATCCATCTAAATTTTTGCATTTATAATATTAGTAAGAGTAAGATTTACCTATTTGTTTACTTGGAAAACTTGTACACACTTTTAAATAGGAAACATTTGTTAAAATTAGTTCAAATTAAAGAAAGAAATGTTAATCCTGAATATATTATTTAATAGATTAAAATAAAAAAGATGTCCGCACTATTCCAACATTTTATCCTACAGTTATTTACCAAAAATCTACCAAGCAGTTCTCGCTTCAGCCACATTATCAGATGATGTACTAAGCTTGAAGAAAATTGTTCTCCGGAATCCAGTGACTTTGAAACTTGAGGAACCGGAACTTGCGCCATCATCACAACTGCAGCATTACCATTTATTCGCTGAAGAAGATGATAAGGCGGCGATATTATATGCACTATTGAAATTAAACCTTATCAGAGGGAAGAGCATTATTTTTGTAAGGACTGTAGATAGGTGTTACAAGTAAGTTTTTAATTTCAATATTAGATACACTTAGTACTAATAAATAAAACAACCTGGCCTCTGCCTACCCTTCTGGTTTATGTTACTTTTATGGATAACATATATAGACCCTAACCATTTGGAAGCAATTAATTATATCTGATGTAGTTGTTTTTTAAAGATATTTATTTTTATTCAATTTCATCCATTTAAATAACTTGTTATATTTTGCACTAATTTAGTATTTTCTTGTTTAAGAAATTTATTAAAATAGTATAGTGATATTATACTATACTCTTGTATTCTTATTGCACCATTTTTTTTAAATACTATTGTATTGTCTTTCTTCTAATGTTTTTTTAATCTGATTTACTAATATTTGTTTTGCAGATTAAAATTGTACTTAGAACAGTTTAAAATTGGTTCCTGTGTGTTAAACTCGGAATTACCAGCAGCTGTACGATGTCTGTCTGTAGATCAATTCAATAGAGGCAGATATCAAATAATTGTGGCCTCTGATGAGAAGGCTTTGGAGAAACCTGATGGTGGATTATTGACTCCTGATGAATGGGGAAAGAAGAATAAGGTATATCCTGAATTTAATTTACTTGTGGGTGTGGTTATTATTGATATGGTTGAATAATGAAGAGGGGTGTAGTTGCCCTTAGCAATAACCATGACACAATTTTTTTTATGTGTCTAATGTCAGCATTAAATGTGTCTACTTCCAATTAATCTCGTTCACTTTAACATTCCAATTATATAACTTTTTAATTTATTCAATTTACTATATTCTTTAACCTAAATGTCATAAGAGTAGGTTTCCATTGCCAAGATGAATGTATAAAAAGTAATCACATTTCTTTCATTCTCAGCCTAAAATAAAGTAGTAGTAGTAGTAACTTACACTTATGAATTATTGTCTTGTTGTAATTTGTGTTATTTAAGTAATATATCTCAAAACATATTATATTCTGCAAATATCAATCTATTTTATTTTATTTCAGCAAAAATCAAAGCGGAAAAAGGACAAAGAGTCGGGTGTATCGCGTGGTATCGACTTCCAGCATGTATCTAATGTTATCAACTTTGATTTTCCTCTGGATGTGAACTCCTATGTGCATAGAGCAGGCAGAACTGCTAGAGGGAACAACCAGGTAAATAACTGACATATTTTACTTATGCTAAATGCTAGTGTGTATGGATGAATGGATTGTAAGAGTATGTAGCCTAAATGGCTGAACTCTATGAAATTCTACATAAAGCCGGGGGCGAAAGTTAGTAAATTTATTGTTTGAATATCAGTTTCAATACCAAATGTTTATGGTTCCAGGGTTCAGTACTATCGTTTGTATCACTTCGCGAGAAATCTCTAATGGATTCAGTTGAAGAACATTTGTCTAAAGGTTTTAATGGAGATAAAGTTATACAGTAAGTTTTCACTTTTTAATAATTAATAGAAATATTCCTGAATTAAAAAATAATAGAAATATTCCTGAATTAAAAAATAATAGAAATATTCCTGAATTAAAAAAAACAGAAAGTAATTGAACAGTAAGTTTGATTTATTACTCAAGTACCAATGCAGAGATACAAATGCTTGAAATTTACTTGAAGCTCTCTAAGTTTCTCTTGTAATGTGCAGATTTTGGGTTCTCATCATTCTATATACCATTCTTTTTCAATTTTAAAACTTCATAATATGTATCTGACAATCTTACGGTGAAGAAAAATATCGTAATGTAACCAACATCTCCGAAATTAAAAGGTATTTGTGTAGTCAACTCACTGCAGCTTGATTGAGTACCTATGTCCTAGTCAACCTTAATTTACGGTAGGTTCTGAACCCCCCAGTGGGGATTTAAAGGGGATATAAGAGTTGTTGATGTTAAATTCGTTGTAAATCTTTGTCAGGAAATATGAGTTTGCATTAGAGGAGGTGGAAGGTTTCCGATACCGGTCTCGTGACGCGTGGCGCGCTGTGACGCGCATTGCGGTGCGCGAGGCTCGCCTCAAGGAGATCAAACAGGAACTACTTAATTGCAAGAAGCTACAGGTAACAAATATCTATAAAAACAAACATTAAAAAAACACTATTTTTAGACTGTCGAAAAAGAAATAAAACTAGCATTTATCCTGCTCGAAGGACCAAGTTTGTACTTTACCGTTTCTTATCGAAAAAATGTCAGGAATACTAGTCAAAGAGTAAGGGAAATTTTAAGAATAGTAGAAGTTAATATAAGGCTATTTAAGCAGTCTTAATTAGCTTTCGCTCTCGACTCTGCACGAAATTAGAAAAGAAAATTAGGTTGTCGATGCGTTTTTTCGATATCTGTGCCAAATTTCATCTAAATTTAAAGATATCTTATAACATACATCCATCCAAACTTTGCATGTAAAATATTAGTAAGATTTTGTACTTGGTTACACTTGGTCCTTAGGAAACTTCTCGAAAAATCTATCTAATGATGAAACCATACAAACATAATACATTGATGAACGACTAATCTTCTCTCTGATTTACCATAAACACTTTCAAACACGAACAAATCCATACAAACACTACAAGAAACATTTCCTTCCAGGGTTACTTTGAAGAGAATCCAACAGATTTAGCTGCGTTACGGAGAGATAAAGCTCTTCATACAGTAAGGTTACAGCCACAATTAGCTCACGTGCCAGAGTACCTGCTACCAGCAGCTCTGAGGAATGATACTCCTGAGGCTGATGCTGAACAGCCGCCGGAACCCACCAAGAAGAGGAAACAGAAACAAACCAACTTTGGTAGCGCTAAGAGACATAAATATCAAGTAAGAAACCTTACGTAATGTAACTTCATAAAGAGTTTCTATGTTGGAATGTTTATTTCTTTTTGTTCCATATGAGTAAAAGAGATAGTTGTACGTATGAAACTAATAAAAATAAACTTTTTAATAAAAAAACGACTTCCAAACAAAATACACTAAATACAAAATATTCTCAAAAAAAAACAGTACACTAAAAAGTAACGAAATAATACCTTCAAAATATAAAACCTCCCTTATTGTAGCTGTTATGTCTGTATTGTACAATTATTATTACTTTGATGTCAAAAAACATACGGATGAACTGAGTACCTCCTTCTTTTGGGAAGTCGGTCAAAAATGTCTGATGTAAAAGGAATTAAGGAATCATTGTTTTTATTAGTTACTAGCTTTCGCCCACGATTCCATCCGCGTGGAAATAAAAATAACACAATAAAGACTAACATCTACATTTATGCCAAGTTTTATCGAGATCTGTTCAGCAGTTTAGACTACAAACTCTAACAAACATCCATCGATCTAAATTTTCGCATTTATAATATTAAGGAAGAGAAGATGTATATCTTAAGATTTTTACTGCCAGAAATCTGTTAAAAAATATTTCAGTTTTTACAACGTGAAAGAGATGACGATAGTAAAGATGGTTGAAGTAAAAATACGATTTTCTATAATATATTTTTGTTTCAGGCCCGACAAAGCGATCCTCTACGCAGCTTCGCGGTCAACAAACTTAAGAAAACTACAGCGAGCGATACATAGTACCCTGTTAGTATTAGATGAAAAGAGATTTTTGTAATCAAAATAAAAAACTTTTATATTTTTATACATGTTTGTGTAAATAAATGTGTCTTACGTGTTGTTTTTTTCTTCCACGCAGTGCGCGCCGGTGCTTTCGTGCGAGTATTGGTTAGTTGTCGGGATTTTGGTTAGTACTGAGATATCGCGTCATATCCATATAAATATACTGTTTGTTTCATGTTTGTTTGTTTTTATGTTTTTTTTAAGATGTCAATGGTTGATATAAAGAATATTAGGCATAAAAAGGATTCTGGCTGAGATAATTAGACTATTGCAATATAAATATTAACGAGATGTTTCTAGATTTTTGTACATGCTAATCTATCTAAGGTCAAGGCAATCTACTTTGTTAATCTATTGCATTTTGTTTATATTTCTTTCTTTCAAACTAAATAGCGGAAGGTTATATTTTTTAATTTATGTTATAAAAATTTGACGAACAAAGAACCTCTCTTGGAAATCTGTTAAAAATGTGGAATCTTTTTCATTCCAGTTATCAGTATACTTTTACTTTAACATTTGATGAGATTGAGGAAGGTATAAAAATCTGAAACAGGTATTTGGCAGTGAGAGCAACCTTTACAACGACGATAAACTAAAGATGAATAATGTAGCATATAGTTAAAACGAAGATATCTACAGGAAATGCATTTAATAAGCTCTGATTTTGATTTGACCTATAATACTTGGCTAGTTTTGGAATATATTGCAAAATAATACTAGTCTATGAAAACCACTCGGTACTAGATATGCATAACTTTTCATAAGATCAAGGACCGCGCAGAACGCAAGTCCAACTACCAAAAATTACGCGTACGACGTATCTCAGTATGAGACAGTCACAGACTAGCTGCACCCCGCCGCAGTGCAATGGCCGGAGCCAGCCTGGGGCAACCGCCTTCGTGATCACGGTACACCCTACGCAAGGTTAGTATGCCGCCGCTGACGGCGCCCCGCCTCATATACCCGCCTCTGCACATCTCAACATCGCGCACTAATTTACTTACTAGTGACATCTATTGCCTTATTTAGTAGATTAATTGCGATTGCTAGAATGAAAGGTTAAGGTGCGTTCGCGGTACAGCCTATTATTTGTAAGTAAATAGTAATATAAACTTTTTATTCTGATATTGTGATTTATCTCCCATTTTTAAGTGCCTCTTGGCATAGGTCTCCTCTAAACATTTCCATTGTTTTCTGTCGTGGTGACTCTCCTTCAATACGGATAAATGTAAATAAAAATTGTACAATTTTTACACTTGCCTACTTTTATTAATAAATAACTCATTAAAGTATTGTCAATCAAAATGGAATTTTGGACCGAAATCGAAATATATGGCAATATTTAATCCCTAACCAAAAATAATACACAAATCACAATTTAAAGTAGTTCTTTATTTATCTTGTAAAATTCTATATAGATTTAGAAATTCTTCTCTTTTTAGGCGGTTCTTTGATAATGATTTTAGAATCGCTTACTGCGCGTCTCAGAGTCAGCGTGCGTTCCTGTAGGGATAGGTTTGTGAGGGACTGTAGGGAGGAAAACGGTCGATTTAAATAATATCCATAGGGACCCATTTCCCTTCTCTGCCATGGGCTGGTTGTAATCCTGTGAAACAAAGAAGTTACAGAAAGAAAGTTGACATATAATACGAGGCATAGTATTTCGTGCCATATACCATATCATAATTGGTGGTGAAGATCGCCGAGGTCGCGTGTACCAGTACACAGCAAGAGGCGATACTCCAAACAGCCAGATGACCCATTGCTGCATTATATTTACAGTCGCCAATTTCTCCTCATCCATCAGAATTTCCCCCTGTAAAACGCACAATTGTTAGATTTGAGTAAATCAGTTTTTCCTAAACAAACAGGGTGTGATTTACTAAAAGATTAAAGCTTATTTCAAGTTCTGAATATCTTGCTAAATTTACCCAGAAAATGTTTCAGAACTTACTTCTTCGTCGCAATAGTCTATGAACAGTTTGATGAGGCCCACAGACACGTGCCAGAAGTGAAGGCTGTACAGCACCATCCACACAAACAGGAGATGCTGGAAATGGCAACAATATAGTAATTGACCTCTTTTAGTCCATAAATATGTCAAATCTTGAGTCTCACTTAAAAGAGCGTATTGATCAAAGATGTTAGCCTAGTGCCTATTTATTCAGTTTCTACATTACAAAGTAAGAGCATACTTGCAGGACGAGTTCCCATAGCGCCACTCTTCTGAACATAAATCTACGGAACATGGAGACAAGCAAGCGATGCGCGAATGCCGAGGCGCCGATCGCCCACAGGATTGTGGGCACCGTGGATATGTAGTCGTCGCCGCATTTTGCCCATTCAATTAGCTTAAAACGAATGAAATATTTTGAAGACAAACCCGTTAAGTCAATACCACAGAGTGTGATAAGGACCAAGAGATAATAAACTACAGAATACTCTTTGTGTAATTTTTCTCTATTAAATTACATTGTTGCAACTCTTTACTCCATAACCTTACACAAGATATTGCTATGTAGTCGACTTCTAAACCTGCCCTAGTTGTTGGGGAGAAAGAGTATGGAAAGGTAGTCCCTCTTTCCTTCAATCGATAATCAGAAGGTAAAACTTGAGGTATATGAAACTAACCTCTGAAGTTTCGACAAGGAGGAATTTCCATAAATATTCTGTCCACATTTTTAGATATCATCTCATCTGGAATTTAGAAGCCAATACTATGTTCTACTATTTCTTCATTTAGTATTGCTAGTGTTTATGTTGTGTTAGTACAATCGATGATTTTGATTCGCATTTTGACGTGCTTTTTGCAACTTTTCTTGACAATTTGTTAAAATTGACATTATGTAATGTCTTTTATTATATTTTTAATTTTATTTAATTTGATACTTAGATATTTGCTCGCGAGGTTATTCGTTGGCACAATTTTTTATTGATTTGGATCATTTGAAAAATCTCTCTGCCTTTAAATAATCACCGAAAGGATTTCGGTACAATTTCGTTTGATTGCTTTCCCTTATCTTTGCCAATAAAAGTTTCCTAATAAAGATTATGCATTTACTTTGTATTATGCATTTACCATTGTAAGTACTTGAGGGGATATTTTTAAGGATTATTGTGACGAGAAATAATGTACAAAACGTTACGACATAGATTAATTTATTTTCTATTTTTCTTGTACAACATTTTCATCGCCATAAAACATTCGTTGACGTGGTGTTGTCAACACATGGTTTGTCGGCATTACAATAACACCTGGTGGCCTGGAAACAAATAATACAAATGTAATAACAACAATTCCAGTCACGCTACTCTACGTTAGCTATGTGTATAACAGGGTCATCATCGTCCCTGTCCTTAACCATTATATCTGTATGCTGTATTATTGAGTCATCATCATCAACAACTTGCCCTTGTCCCTACGGAGGGTCGGCACAGTATGTGTTGCTCTTCCATAGATCTCCAGCACCCGTAATATGAATTCACTCCATACTTAAGCATATCCTCTTTCACATTCCATACTTTTTGGTCTATCTCTACCTTTATTACCAATGTGTAAATGAAGAGTTCAGTAATAAGATAAATTAAAAGATTACTTACATTTATAAAATGTTTAAGCTTCTCGATCGCTTCACCGGTGGTGTCGTTACTTTGTATCGGAAAGGGTAGGGGTGGTAGAGGTCCGTCATGCTTCTTGCAGTAGAGGGCGGAGTCGCTGGTGCGCCGGCCACCCACGGGGCTGGAACTCGCCAACTGTGCCGCGAACGCCCGCAGATCCACCGATGACGCTCTCCTCTTGTACAACGCACTGTCACTCTAGGGATAAACAGAATATCTAAAGATACGAGCACCACATTTACATTCTTTGAATCTCCCTGCTTGTGGATGAATGTGTTTTGATATTTTATGACATAAGCCATGGAGTTGAGATTAAGTCAGTAACAATAAATATGGCATGGTGGCGTTTTAAAGATCATCTTTTTTCTGAAAAAGAATCTAGGAACAAGTCCGACAATGATGGTTTTATCAGGCTAAACGTACTATGTTTTATAAAAGCTGTAATAATACATACACCTTAAAATCTGTGGATATTGTGGGTATGGAATAGTATTACGTTTGTGCATAGCTAGTTGGAGCCGGCTCCGGCTCTCGGGTGCTGAGGCGCTGCTGCACGTTGGCTACGAATGTCTGGATGTTCGTAATGGTCCTGTTCACTCCTCGGGCGGTGTAAACATGCAGCTCGTTTTGCCTGGTTCAAGTAAAGAAAATGACAACTAGGTGCTAACTTTAATTATATTTTAGAAGCCAGGATATTTTATCATTGGAAGGTTCATACAAACCATTGTTCTAAGTATGGCACGGTGAATCTTTCACAGTAGTGCTTCCTGATGAAATCGGCGTAACAGAGGGCGAGGAACCAGCAGGCGGTGATGTGTATTTGACTCTGCTGTTGGCGCATAAAGCGTGTTAGTGGGCCCAGCGGCACCAGCTCGCTCTCTCCGCCCAGCAGGCCCACAGTCGTCATCTCTAGCAAGACGCCCGGGCTCTACAACAAGGACTTAGAATGTTATTTTCACTTTGCTGTCCTTCTCTCCTCTTTGGTATAATCACCCATCCCTGTTATTCATAACTCTTCAATATGTCAATCAGTCCAGCCAGGTTGTCTATAAGTTTTTAGACTTTTTCTGGTATAATTTAAGGTACTGAAGGAATGTACTTACGTCTCTAATTAAAGTGTCCAAATAATACAGGAAAAACCGCGTGAAACACACCCACAGGTGGACCATAAGCGCCAGCATTCCCAATACCATCGTCGACTGAAATATTAGATTTTTGTAACTAAGAAAAATTAAGATTAACGGTGCTACGATATTATTATGGGCAAGTTCACCAAAAGAAAATTCTGAACTACTTAATTGAACCAAAGGGCTTTATGATAAACTTATAGGACAACGTTACGTCTTTGTCTAATACTCGAACTTTGTTGATGTTTATGATACTAAATTGTATTACAATCAGCGAATTCTCTAGCATTGTAGGGTGCGCCGGAGCGCCGCCAGTGTTGATGGTCGCCCGAAGCTCGCTGTACAGGAAGAGGGCCGCGGCGCTGGCGAACACCGCCGTGGGGCCCATCCCCCAGACCTCGCCGTTGCAGCTCAGCCACATCGCCATGGTGTTCCCGCGGCGTGTGGCCAGATCCTAACAGACAATGTATGAGCCATTGGAATAGTCAGCAAACTCTATTCGTTACACGAGATGAATACTGGGAATAGCCTTGTTGGTGTTTTTAAATTACAAGAACTGGCTTAGCTTATGATCTCCTTTAAACAGTGCCAAAGAGGTGCAAAGGAATGCAACCTTGATTTGTCTGTTCAAAATTTTACCTTCAACATTTATACGCAGTCTTTTCTCGAAATTCTAAGTATTTGCTTCTTTGCTAATTAGTGATATCATTACCATCGTTGTCGCAACTTCACTGAATATATTTTAATAAGAGAAGAGTGTAAATAAGCAGCGCGAACACCGAGCTGATCATCGCCCGTGGACATTAAAGGAACTGCAGATGCGTTGTAGGCCTTTGAGAAGCAGATACGGTCACTTCTTGAAGAACTCTAAGTCGCACTTTGGAAATAGATACTTACGTAGGGTGTACAATAACTTATAGACTGGACCGCCATGCTTCCGCCGCTGGCTGGACTCCAGTAGCTCCCCCTCCAGGCCGAGCATGTTTAGAACACAACTAACATCGCAGAACTTCAAATTTATCTTTAAAATATTAATTGTTGATATTTTTGGTCGTACACTTTTTGATTTTCTTATGTCAAATAACTGTAATTGTCAGAAACTAGACGGCTGAGACGTTTGTGTGACATCTGGAAAAATCGGTTTAAGTAATGAATCAAAATGTATGGATTAAACCAGCTTTCGCCCGCGACTCCGTTCGCGCGGAATTAAAAAAAACAAATGTGATTAGCCTATATGTTCTTCCAGACTATCCTCTACATCTGTACCGAATTTAAACGAGATCCGTTCAGCCGTTGGCTACAAACTCTAACAAACATTCATCCATTTAAACTTTGTTATTTATAATATTAGTAAGAAGTAAAATAGAATTACACGTAATGGATTTAAGCTTATATAAACCTCTCATTTAAAGAAACCTCCGAACAATATCCCCCTGTCTATAAATGGACAGGATATAGGTGTGCTATTTTGTGTCTATTTGATTTTCGCCAATTCGTCGCTAACGGTTAAATAGGTGGTGAAAATTGGAACTAAAAATAGAGAAAACAAAGAAGCGTGCTAAAATCGGAACGTAAGAACACTGTCATTTTTAAGCTATGACCTATCCATTTATACAGATTAGTGCTCATGGTGAAATAAGCAGGGTTTATAGTTTGGGGAGTAGCAGTTTCAAAAAATATAGAATGTTCTAAAGGGTTTGTGAATGAAACGCAATATTTTTTAAACAAATAGCTAGAGGTTCACGTGATGGCTGACACGTGGCCCGTCTAGTCATTTGTTGGTTTATTACACTTTTTAGATTACATGTTTTCCTAACAACAGTTATTTAAAAACAATAATCATGTACAAAAGAATAACTTTTTGTGGGTATATGAACAATTTTTGTAATTTTTTTTATAAAAACATTTAATGTCACTAACACAACACTGTCTAAAAGTTAACATGCGATTAAAACAAATATATAGAGATTACGATTATATAATTTTCTACAATATATTTGGACTAAAATTCAACGACAAACATCCATAGATTATAGTACGAGTATTAGAGAAGACAAAAGGTTTTTTTTTCGCTACAGTTTTCTAAATAAGTCCTGTAATCAAAGTACTTCAATGTTGCAAACATTTTTAAATATTTCACTAAAGCTAGAAGGCATCTAAACGCCTTTATATGTTTTATTACATAAACAAGCTCTACAACACTGCATATTAGATTTGTCTTAAATATAAATGGCTTATGTTCTTCTACATTTTAACCTTAAGTACATAATAAATCATGGCAACACTAGGCGACGACGCAGGACAGAAGAGGCTGGCGCTCTCGTGTCGGAGGCCAAGACCCACTTCGGGTCGCTGCGCCAACGCAAGTAAGTAACACTAGTATGTAATAAGTATTCGTAACATGCATGTATCGCAATATTTCTGTATCCATTGCCCGAGAATACAGAAATATTAAACATTAAATTATATAAATTATGAACAAGCGTATTTTTTATTTTATAGTCTGCTCAGCATTTTTTTCATTTATATTTACAATTTAACTATAATATACACATTAAATTAAGATAAAAATAACAATTTACTCAAATAAAAACGATTTCACTAAAAAAATCTCGAAACATGATCTTGGAAAAAGTTTTTTTTTATCACAGAAAAATAATATGTCTTAAAAAATATTAAAAAGAAATTAACATAAAAAATATCTTATAATATAAGTTGCAACCCGTTTCTAACTTTTTATACTTCTAACATATTTTATGAAGCGATTTTACATATATTTCTATTAGAATTAATTGGTAATTTATTGGTAGAAACTACAGTTAATACAGAACAACGTGAACTGCTAATACGATTATCATATTCATTTTAAACGCTACAATCATATAAACTTTATTACCAAAGCATTTTACTAAAATACACAGTAAAACTCTTATCTTCAAACGCACACTTGAACTAAGCAAAATATATAAACCAATTCGATACACTGTTATGTAACGCTTTAGAACACTAAACATTAAAAGTACTTGCTAACATCCAATAGATCAGTTGGCTTACTGGAAATAAAGAAAATAACAATTTTTTTAATGTTCTATGACAAAAAATACTGCCAGTTAAAGACAACACACACCTTCAGATTTGACTTAACAGTCGGACTGTACAGTTTGTTTTTTCAGTTATAACCGTGCAGTTAAAACTGAGGCCCATAAATTGAAAACGTCGAAATACATTACATTCATGATGTCATAACGACTATCAAGAATCAAGAATTATTTTTATAAACAACAGTAGGAAAGGGAGATAGAGAAAGAGTAAGAACTATACGTCATTCTGTCTTCTCTCCTGTTATTTGTACAGCTAGTGATTAAAGGTATACGTACAGCGGTGTGAGCAGAGTTAGACGAGCCACTCGACGGGCGGCGGCAGTCACAGGCTGCAGACAGCCACCTCGCCCGATGGTGCGGAGCTCTCCTCTGGTCGCTTGATGGTTCTTATACGCTGCAAAATTGAAATTAAATGCTAAAAAAAATTCTATTCTTCACGACCATATCTGCTATTACAATGCTCAAGTCAAGAATTTATTGAAGAACCTATAATTGTTCTATTCATCCGAAACGCTAGAATAAAATATACCAATTCCATAGATCTTCAAAAGAAAGTACAACAACGACAGTCTCTACATTATTTATACAGCTCACCTGATAGCAACTTCCCGGGGTGATGATGAATTTGTAGATGATGTAAAGAGGCACGCAGGAGACGGTGGTGCCTGTCATCACCCAGCCGACAGCAATAGACCAGCCAGGGTACGTGTACTCACCACCCAGCATCTCCTCGTGTGATAGCACGGAGAACACGAACAAACCGAGCAGGAACACAGGACTGTTGGGATATGAAAACAATATTATTTCTGGAGTCTTTATTAGATTCTCTTTCTTGTTAGTGATTTACCTGATATAAGTCCAGCAAGCGCGCCAGAATATCCCGGGCGTGTGACCGAGCATGCTGCGCACGTCCTCGGAGAATCTGTCGACGCCGTACAGCCAGCACACGCCCGCCGCCTCCGCGAACACCAGGAACAAGATCGCCAGACCGGGGCCGTACACATTTAAAAGGTCCACCAGGTATACACCGCCCTAGTTAAGGAAACATGTAATAAATGTCAGCGTTGATACGAAACTATCATTTTTTATTATGTCTTTATCTGTTGATATTTCATTAATAGCTGTTGCTCTCGACTTCGCCCGCGTATATTAAAAAATAAATAAAAAACGTAGCCTATGTTACTAACAGATAACGTAGATTTTTAATGGTGAAAGAATTTTTGAAATCGGCCCAGTAGTTTTTGAGTTATTTCAATACATATAAAAATATAAATCTTTCCTCTTCATTATCTTCAGCATCATTTTATACTTTGAATTTAATTACATCCAAATTAGAAGACAAAAGTATAGTACTGTACTATACTAAACCATCTTAGTATTCAATAAATAAAACATAAGTCGGAAACAAAAGTGCGCGTAGTGTCAGTAGTCAATCTTTCGTCGGGTCATCGTGTTGAGTGGGTAAGTGTTGAATTATTCAAACACGTCCAGAGGCTACGGGCTGTGAGATAGCGGTTATTTATTGGGCAACTTTATTCGTTATCTTAGCTACTACGAAATACTCATAGAATGACGCACAATGATTCCTTAAACCGATGCGATGTCAATACACAATTACGTTTAAACGCACGATTTCCTCCTATGCGTGTTGAAATCCTTCAATTTGCCGCATGGTGTGTCTATCGTAAAACAAACTGCTGATTTGAAGCGAAACATAATACCGAAAAGCTATCAACGTAATCCCGCGACGTAAGACATACCTTGATTTATTGTTTTTTTCATCGAATTAAATCATAAAGAAATATATATAGTCATAAATATTAAGTTTTTTATTGCTTGACGGTCTATCGTTCCCACATTAAGTGGACAATAGATGAAAGCTTGCTTACTTAAAAATAGCTATTACAATTTTGTGCCTATCCCGGATTATTCCCAACCGTCACCCCGCTCTGTCTCCACGTGGAGACATGAGAATAAAAAGTTTCATCCGTCCCATCTTTTGCGACGAGGGGACTGTTGGAATTTATTTTATTTCGTAACAGTTCCATCTGTTACGTTATTGGTGATGATGGGACGAAATAAACTTTTTATTCTCACGTGGGAACAGTGCGGGGTGACGGTTGGGAATAATCCCGTATCCCATAGTGAAATATGAAATATATTGCGGCTAGATTCGTGGACTAGCGACTAGCTTAGATTTACCTATTGATCTCTCTCTCTCTCTCTCTCTCTCTCTCTCTCTCTCTCTCTCTCTTTAAACATCTAGACGAAGGGATTCTACTTACATAAGTTGTGGTTGGTAAAGCGCAGATGTAAATGAAGAGTAAAAGAACAGCAACAAATATCTCTCGATGTCTGCCCAACACTCGAGGGTATTCATCACAAAGTGCCGTCGTCACCGCTTCTAAACCTGTGTGGAAATATGTGACACTTTAAAGCCAAAAACGGTACGGTATACAAGAATAAGGATCAGATGTCATTATTACCATTTTGGTTATAGATACGGACCAGGTCAATCTTTTGCCTTTAGCTGTACATAAGTAAGTATTGAAATGCAACTTTAATACACATAAAATTATTTGAAATTAGCTTTCGTCCGTGAATCCTTCAGCGTAGAATTAATTAAAAACAAAAGCGAGTAGCATATGTGTTCTTCCAGACTATCCTCAATATCTATGCCAAATTTCATTGAGATTGGTCCAGCCGTTTAGGCTACAAACTCTAACAAACATCCATCTAAACTTTCGCAATTAAAATATTAGTAAGATATCATATTTCAACCAATGACACAGACTAACTAATGCCCAATGAGACCGAAAGTTTTTAGCAATAATCATTTTAGTGTTTTAATATCCTTTTATATGTTAAATGGGCATATTAAATTCGGCATCAAAAGAAGGAACCTTTATTCTGCAGAGACTTGAATGAATTGAATAAGGGGTTATTCAAATTGATTCTTTTATACACCGACCTTTATAGAATGATCTATAAAGAGGCTTTTTAATTCAAATATTTAACTTATTTACTTATATTGAACCCGTAACTCTAAATTTAAGTATTTTCTCTACTTTGTAGTTGTGCTCTGGGTTTAAGTGAGTTTAAGGCTGAAATTCCTGAAAAAAGTGTTATAATGATATTTTCTTCGTTTTAGTGTTTAAAACATTCTAAAAATTATATGTAATTTAATAAAAATATAACCTCCAAATGTACTGTCCAGTCCCAAAGTGATGAGCATAAGAAAGAATATGATGGCCCAGAAGACGGATCCCGTCATGGTGGCGATAGCCTCAGGGTACACAATGAACACCAGCCCCGGACCCTCGAGACCCACCTCCTCGATACTCTTGTTCTGTACGTGCGCCATGTACCTGACACACATAAAATACAAGATTAATGTTGAGTTTTCATTGTTGTCAAACAAGTAGTACAACAGGTCATCGTCATAATAAAAACCCAGCATTGAAGTGTTAAGTTTCTTTTTAATGATTCTGATATTATTCTATTAGAATCAATGACAATAGGCCTGTAGTCTGGATCTAAAGTCTAACCCTAATACGGAGAAGATAACAAATCCCGCAAGGAAGCTGGTGAGGCAGTTGATAGATGATGTGAGGAGCGCGTCGCGGTAGCAGTTGTTATCGAACTTGTTGTAGCTGGAGAGCGCCAGCAGCGTCCCGAAACCGGGGCCGAGGGAGAAGAATATCTGAGACGCTGCGTCGATCCACACCTGAGAATTTGATAACATCAGAAATGACAGCAAGATTAGCTATTTGTGAAAAAACAGCAGTTGCTAGATAAGAAATATTATCACAGAAGATAGTAGGAAATCTGCTTCTTCTGTCCAATGCTTTGATGAGCTAAGCCCAATTACAACCTTACTTTACTACCTCTGATCTATTCTATTCAACTATCTCGAAGTTATATTTTGATAAGCAATAGAAATAAAACTTATCAAGATACCTTAGAGTTTTGCAACTTATGCCATTCAGGCGTTAGGTAGTAGCGTATACCCTCCGTAGCTCCAGGTAAGGTGACGCCTCTCGCTAGCAGAATCAGCAGGACCACATACGGAGCCAGTGCTGTTACCCACACAACCTAAGAGACCAAATAAACCTCTTTATCAAGAAGTATTAATTTTCTGGCATTGAAGCCAAAATCTTAGATGTTCAGTTACATTGGGTGTATCTTAAAAAGGCATTATTAGGGTAGGGTGTATTATTATTAGTAGACAATATTAGGTAGGTATATTATTAGGGGTAGGGTATTGCAGAGCTTACCTTGCCAGCACTCCTAACGCCTTTCCACAGCGAAAAGTAGACGAGAACAAAGACTCCGAACACGCAGAGCGCGAGCGAAGGCTTGATGGGACCCATGTCGTCCAAACCGTTAGACCTATGTTGTTCCAGCACGTTGCGTCTGGAAACACATATTATTAGTACGGGATGTATGTAGTTGTAAATAAAAACCAAAATACGCATCAAGGAAGTCACACAATTCTTAAATAATGTCGTAGCTGGTATTCAGTCTATTATCGCACGAAAAGGCAATGTATCAACAACATTACTCGAAAAATTCCTTAGCGGGAGTAGTCGCGTTGAGGAAGATCTGCGGCGAGGTGATCGGCGTGCAGAGCGGCGTGTTCCACTCGTTGTCACAACTGGTCCACGGGAGCTGCGAGCCCAGCGACGCCAGCGAGGCCACCAGGTAGTAGACCGCCCAACCGATGATCGTGTTGTAATACATGCCCATGTAGATGTCGATCATGCAGATCGCGTAGCCCACGCCTAGAGACAAACGAAGTTAGGGTAGATACGATAGCTTGCGCTGTAGACAAAATGAGCGTAGAAGTCTCGTAGCATCGTAGAACCTAGGTTATATTAAAAAGATGGTTGTTTCAAATAACATTTATAAACAGTTATTTCAAAACAATAAAGAATTAAGCAATTGAATATCGTCTGTTACACACTGAGTACAAATAAACATAACAAGAACAAAAATAACGAAATAGGGGTACAATAAACCAAGTTCTAATTAAATTAAAGCCTCTTACAAGTGGATATAAAACAGAATTAAGCCATTTCGTCGTCTCACAATAAATCTCTAAACGTTTAGAATCAAATTAATCATCCGGTGCGAGCGTCAATTTGTGCAAACGCAAAGTTGGCGCGAACTCGCGTCGCCATGTTTGATCGAATCAGCGCCATCTATCGGGTAATCAAATGACACCGTATTGGATGTCGTTAATTGGTTTAGGTTGCGAGATGGTGTTATTTATGACGATTGATAACAAATCTTCGAGATTCTGTTAAATCGTGGTGCCACGGTTCATAAATTGTATTAATAAACTTGTGTTTCAAATTATTACTAAAGTTATTACTAGTCAAATTTTGATTGCATTGAGATGAGTTATAAAAAAACATCGTAAGAGTATTATATCTAGTATTATTTTGTATGAATAGTTGGCAAACGAGCAATAAGACTCGTAATGTAAATTTACTGACGCCCAGTATGTATCCATATATCCATGTATGTATGGATGTCCATACATCCGCAACACTAGACGAACAGCAAATGAGTTGTTGAAATTTCTTAAAATGTGATAATATATCGAACTAAATTACAATATCCAATTAATATCTACAGTTAGAGCAATGGAAGCAAAAGATTTTCGTTCATTAAAAAATTTAAACACTACAATTCGTGTACCGTGTAACATTCATAACAGAATGCTATAAGTGATTCAGCAGTGAAGCGGGGAGGCTCGATATGTTGATAAGCGAGTGAGGGGTGAGGGGTTGTCTGGGGGGTGATGCATGAGTTACAGATAACAGAATATACGCCATCAGCGAGCAATATTGATGAGGACGGAAACCATTTTTGTATGTAAGTATATGTTCCTGTGATTTTTTTTTAAGTAACCAATTATAATTGATGGAGATTATAAGAACATACAAAAAAGATGACTCGACGAAACATTAAAAAAATGACTGGTTAGTTTGAATAAAATAAAAATAAAAGTGGATCATTTTTTTCAGTGGATTAACAAGAAAGTTAAAATCTTTAATTTTGATCTTGCTTTTCTTTGAAACACTTCCAAAAGTACAATTTAATGATACAACTGTCCTTAAAAACCAACATTATAAATCTCCAATAACTTTCCGAGGGTGAAACTTTTACAAAGATATCGAATTGGTCAAATTATGAGACAAGAGGCGACCTCCGTACGTCAAACTGCTATCACGAAACAAAAAATATACGCCTTATAAAAGATATTTTAAGGATAACTTTGTAAGAATGGAATTCAGTAAAGAAATTTCACAGAAAAATATCTAACGTAAAATTCTTCATTAAAATCTTCAAATTTTACTCTCCATAAACGCCTTTGCTTTAAATGCTGGACATTATGAATAACATTTAAATATTTCAAAGCCAATTTAATAATCTCATAAGACTTTGCCTTACTTAGGAATACGCATAGAAACTAATCTGTTGAACAAATTGTAGGCAAATAAATCAATAATTAAACGAATTCAGTTCTTCCTAATAAGAGAACAAATGCAGTTATTAGTCTCATATTCTTGTTTCAACGAGTTTGCGTAGACAATTTGTACGTGAATTCAACTGGCATCGAATTTGGAGAGTTCAAAACGGCCGTACTGAAAGTGTGGAGAGCACAGCTAATATTTGTCTGACAGATCAGGCACTGCCTGTATGTACCAGTTAGCAACTGGGGAAATATGAAAGTTAAATTAAATTCTTGATAAAAACTCCTTCAGACGTTCCGGGAATTGGTAAGCATTATTTTACACATTTCCCCACTTATTTGCGGTGTTGGAATTTGTAGAAATAAATAAAGTAATATGAAATAGCAAAAATATACGACAAAATTATAATAAGATTAAATCCTGTTACAGTATCTCTTATGTCACATTACCATAGACACGATTGATTTCTAAACGTTCAATATAATCTGTGAGCGCGCCATTCCGCCACTTTTCCCGCCAAGTGTGACTCGGCCGTTGCAAATTGGATTCTTCGTGGGTTTCATACATTTTAACAAGCACTATCCATTGAGTAGCCACCATTTGTCTTGACTTAAAAGCATTGCCTCTTGTATATTTATAAAGGAAGCGGTGTAATGCTCGATAGACTGCTCTAGTGGAAATGAAATGAGGTTATGTTGATTCCATTGCAGTGTGTGGTAATTTTTAGATAAATATCTTTACATGAAAAATTAAAAGAGAATATGAACAGAATGTGATTGTAAAATTTTATCAAGTAGCTTCCAATCTTCGTTGTTATTATTTTCATTTCTAAAATACACTTCTGATGAATATAAAGAAAAAGAAACGTTAAAAGTATTTGTACTTTTCTATCTACAGTATTATCGATATCGAGATTTCCCAAACGGTGTGTTTTATTGTCTGTTAGCCAATCAATCATTATGAATACAGAGTGCCTACAGGAATGATTCCCAAGGGACGTGCGGTGCGTTCATCACTTAAATGTTTATGTAAAATATTTATCTTTTTTTATAAGGGGGTAAACGAGCAAAGGAAACACTGAGGTGATCATAAACGCCCATAGACCTCCTCAATACTAGAGGAAACGGTACGTTTATAGCAGAGTTGCTAGCTAGCTAGTTCTAGATAGCGGTGCTACTGAACGATTTTTCAGGTCTCCTACCTTTTAGTGCAGGACAGATCTTCTTCCAGAGCGTAAGACATCCACAGCGATGGTACTGCCCCAGCGCCAACTCCATGAAGAACAGAGGTAGACCGCCAAAGAGCAGCATTATGCAGTACGGGATCAGGAACGCACCTAACGCACAAAGATTATATCACAAAGGTGGACAAAAGACTAGACAGGAAGACTTGGTCTTAGACTGAATATAAAACTTTTGATCGCTGGAAACATGTAGTTAATAGTGATATTTTACTGCCTTTTTAGAGTTACAATATGATCTTACCGCCGCCGTTCTGGTAACAGATGTAAGGGAAGCGCCACACGTTGCCGAGATCGACCGCAAACCCGACCACAGCCAGCAGGAACTCTACCTTCTTCGCCCATGTTTCCCGTTCCCGCGCTGGCGTCAAGGATACCACTATCGAGCGTGTCTTCTGGTGTTGCTATGATAATCAAATAGAATAATAAGATTCACTGTAAAATTACCACAACTAAAATAATAGATGGGAAAGTATTCCTGAATATTTGATGTTTAGGGATGATGTTGATGCCATTGGGGAAGGCCTATGTCCAGCAGTGGGCAGATAAATGCTGATGATGATTTTAGAATAGATAAGACGACAGAACTATTGTTAAACAACCACAATATTCAAAGTTAAATATTCAAGTTGCTGTCATATACGGTTGAGAAAAGAGAATGAGGTCTTTAATGTTCCAGTGGTAAAAGACATCAGTGTATTTTTTTAAATAACTTTTTTGAAATCTAAAAAGAAAGTAACTCACAGGCGGTTGTACAGGTGGTGCGTGGTCGTCGCGGGCGGGGGCGGGCGCGGGCGCAGGGGCGGGCGGCGTGGCTGCCATGTCCGCGGCGGGCGGTTCACACTCGCCGTTACGCCGCTCCGGCCCTGGGCTCTCGCCCTACAGATATACAATACCTTGTGAGATCATCCTGTGGAAGGCATTAGTGACCTATTTCCAGCAGTGAATTGATTCAGACAGACAATTTATGCTGATGACATGTATATAGCACCTCTCCGCAGCGACTGTAGGGCGTTTACGCATAAAACAACGGGTTTTTGCTGCTGAAACACTTTTGCGTTTTTATGTAATTTGAGAATGACCGATCAAATATTTAGAATTGTGAAATCATATATTAGTTTGTAATAAGACGAAGAACTAATTTGTTCGACTTTTCGTTTTTATAACGAGCTATGAGTTCATTGCTCGACAAAATGTTTGTGCAATCTGTCTATTGTTTTGTAAGGAGGCCAGTTCATGTGATGTATGTTAGAGTTAATTAGCCATAACACAGTGATTATTATACTATGAGTTTTTTTTATAATAAAAGGACAAATTATGTTGTTAATAAATATTACCTAAATCATAGAAACCAATGGAAATTAAAAAATTATTGTAAGTTTATAATGAATAGTAAAATACTTAAAGAAACTTGAATATAGACATTTTTATCTAATTTGTAAGCTATTTTTTTATTAAACCACTGAGTTGCAATACTCAATATTTAGACAGGAAATTGAGATAGAAATATGAAATAAGGGAAATGTAATATTTTTTTTAAACGCTTGGAGATTCTCTTGACCTTCACGGAATATAATTTTTTAAATCAAAGATAAACGTCCCCTGTCTTGTAAACATCGTCTACGATTTGTTGTGTTTGCGGAGAGTTGTACAAACACGTCCGGTCGCTGGGACGATTGCTTCGCAAATAAAAAGTTTAACTATGGGCTTAGCGATGGCCGTTCATTGCACGTTCGAGGGTCGACCGAGTTCCTTTCTCAATAGGTTTCTAATGCATTATGAAATTACTATTAGAGTTTTAACTTTATTAAAATGAGATTTTTAAGAACCTTTTTTTTGTATTTAAATTGTAAAAATAATCATTTGGTTTTTAAATAAATAACCGTTATTATTAACCTAAAAGTATATTAAATTATACTAGCTGTAGCTCGCGACTTCGCCCGCGTGAAATTAAAAAATATAGCCTATGTTACTCACAGATAAATTACTTTTCTAACGGTGAGAGAATTTTTAAAATCGGTTCAGTAGCTGTGGAGTTATTTCAATACGTACAAAAATACAAAAACACAAATCCTTTCTCTTTACTATTAATTTAAATATAGATAAATCTACGAGTACGTCCATAAAGTTAAAGAAACAATGGGTGGAGATAATAAAATGTTTTGAACATCTGAATATTTTTTTTAATTATTTCAAAGCAGGATGTATAAGTTTTTTTTTTAAATAGGAAACGTTTAAGTGCTATGTATTATTCCAATTAATTTAATCAATCGAGTGCCGCCAGGGAACTAGAGAAAGCTTTTCTCACTTTCTTAACGAGGGCGTGTATGTAGGGGTGGATAATTGAAATGGACATCTATGTAACTATACTATAAATATCCTGCTTCAAGATAAAGTCAATTAGAGGTTTTGCAATGAAATTATACTATAGTTGCCAGCGTGGAATTTAAAAAAAAAGTATAAATAATTTGGTGCATTTTATTCAGTGATAACATAGCTTTTTAAGAGTGCAAGAATTTTTGAAATCGGTCCAGTAGTTTTTAAGTTATTTCAATACAAACAAAAATCTAAAAATACAAATCTTTCCTCTTTATAATCTTAGTATAGATTGACAGCCGGAATGTTCCTAAAATGGTTAGATTTGTATGTACATACATATGTCTTACCGTCCGTCTTGTCGTGACACATGGGAATTCATTTTGTGGTTTGTATATTTTTTATATAACAAAACAATACTGTTATACTCAATATTACAAATGTATGAATGGATATTATTTGAATGAATTGTGACACAAATGTAAATCATATAGAAAATATAAGCTACTTACTACGTTTTTTTTAATTTCGCACGGACGGAGTCGCGGACAAAATCTACTATTTTTATACAAAGTGAAAGTTTCTGTAAAAAAATTCTATATGACGGTATTAGAATGGACGTCAATAAGTTAACCTTGGTAGAAATATCGATCTTATTGGTATACTGTAAAATAATTTTATGATACTTGCAAGTAATGTACTTTTAATAATATCATTATGTATTCACATATATGAGCGTCGGTGGCTCAGTGGTTTGAACACTTGACTTGTAATCTACAGGTCTTGGGTTCGAATCCCGTCGTGTACCAATGTGATTTGTGATTTTTCGAATTTTCATATGTACATAATTTACCCGACGTTCTTACGGTGAAGGAAAACATCGTGATGCACCCTGCACATATCGGCGAATAAATTCAAAGATATGTGTGAAGTCAACCAACCCGCACTTGGCCAGCGTGGTTGACTAAGGCCTAGTCACCCCATATTAGGGTAGGCTCCGAGCCCCTCGGTGGGGACGTATAGTGAGCTGGTGATGATGATGATTCATATATAAGCAAGTACAAATTACGAGATGAGCATATTAGAGGATTTTTGAGAGTAGCTCTAGTAGAGAAGGTAAGGAGTAAAAGGTTAGCATGGTATAGGCATGTTATGAGGTGGGATGAATCGCATGTTACAAGGAGAACGTTAGTCATGAGTGTGGAAGGGTACCTAGAAAGAGATGGATGGATTGTGTAAAAGGTGACAGACATGATCAAAAAGGGAATCATGACAGATGACGTATGATAGAGTTATGTGGAGGACAAAAACCTGTTGCGCCGACCCTTCGGGAGTAGGATAAGGAGATGATGATGATATAAGCAAGGAAAGATAAATCAATAAAATTGAACAAAATTGAATTTTTATTCTTTAGAAGAGGCTTTTGGTGGCCGTGTATTGGCCGTTTTATTGACAATAACAGTTTGTGGACGTCGTAAAGTTACAACAAAGAGTGGAATATCCCTTGCGTGGGGCGTTTTGCATTTTATCCCCTAATCTTATATACCAATGAATTCTTGTAGTAGACGTAGTATGTGTGCTTCTAAAGCTTAGAAATGTCACCGAACAATTGTGAAATATGTGACATCAAGATCGGGATAAAGTTCTAAGTAAAATCATACTTCATACTAATATTATAAATGTGAAAGTTTAGATCGATGGATGTTTGTTAGAGTTTGTAGCCTAAACAGCTGAACGAAATTCGATGAAATTTGGCATATATGTAGAGGATAGTCTGGAAGAACACATAGGGTACTCACTTTTGTTTTTTTTAATTCCACACGGACGGAGTCGCGGGCAGAAGCTAGTTATCAATATAAATGACAAAATATGCATGTTAACAGTGAAAGAAGTTTCGGAATGGATTAGGATTGCTAAGTTCGATTGAAAGCAAATTCAAATTGAAGGAAAAAAAGTTATTCGAAGTTCAATAAAGTAATACATTGAATTAGAAAATTTCCAACCGATACTTCCAATTTGAATTTTGAATACATTACAATTCCTTAAGTCAATATAATCAGCAGTTAGAGATTACTTAAGTTAGAGGCCGAATTAATTACATTTTGTACTTAAAAACATTCCGACAATCGAGATAATCTATTTACGATTCGAATCGGAATAGAAATCGATTCTTTTTTTTGACTTATTTGATAATTGACTTATCGTTTAGCCGTATCTATATTTTAAGTCTTCTTAGACGTATAGCGTGATATTACAAGGCTTATAACTTACTTGATAAGTCGTAAAAAAAATTAAAAGAATTTTGAAAATACAAGTTATCAACAAAAGTGATTCAAGACTTCGCAGAATAACAGAGCAATGCAAACTACGTTTTTTATAATGTCCCCTAAGTTACTATGTTAGAGAACGCTTGTTTTAGACCGAAGTTTAAACAATGCGGGCTCTGCATATCAAGGTCACAGGCATGCGGTGTCATAGCTAATGGAATTACGGAAGCCCGACGATTGTATTTCAAACATCTGAGTACTAAAACATGGATAACATAAAGGACCCAGAACAAACATTACGTAAGTTTGAGTAACAGATTTTCGCCTTTCAAATTATTATTTACTAGCTGTTGCTCGCAACTACGTTCACGTGGAATTAAAAAATAGTAGAAAATATAGCATATGTTACTCAATGAAAACGCTTTTAAAAGTGAATGAATTTTTGAATTTGGTCTAGTAGTTGTTGAATTATTTCAATATAGATACAAAAATCCAAAAAGACAATCATTCTCTCTTAATAATATAAGTATAGACTAGCTGTTCGTCACGACTTCGTTCGCGTGACATTAAAAATAATAAAAACGTAGCTGTTAAATTATCTTTCTTATGGTAAAAGAATTTTTAAAATCCAATCGAATACATACATAAATCCAAAAATCCAAATCTTTCTTCTTTATAACATTAGTGTAGTTTATTTATGTTGTTACTCTTATCTCAATCAAGTAAGTTTCAAGATCCTTATTATTATTGCTACCTTTTTTCTTTTATTTTCGCATTTTTATTAAAGTTTAGATGTATGGATGTTTGTTAGAGTATGCGTAATCGGCTGAACGGGTCTCGGTGTAATTTGGCATAGATGTGGAGCAAAGTCTGGAACACATAGGCTTTGTGAAACAAGGCTTTTTCTGTAAGTGGTTCACCTCGAATTTTCTATCAACGTTTAACTCCACATATTGTTTGACCAAGAACTGTTATATAAGTTATTGTTAGGTCAGGTGGATATTTAAACTTAGTTAGCAACTGTATTTAAGTTAAAGCACGCAAGTTGCAACACCAGCTTATACAGCTTACAGCTTTATTGATTAAGCTGCCTATACAAGAAGTAAAGCAAATAAATGTGGTTTTTAAGATGAAAATATCCTTGTTTTTTAAAGTGAATTGTCCGCCTTGAGAGTTTTTTTTAAAAAAGGCTCTTTTCATTTTGCCAGATGACCTTTTACAAAATTGGTGAACTTAGGAAAGGTATTTAAATAGAATGCAAACTATTTATGTTTATTCGGGCAAAAATGTTGTGAAGAGTTTTTAAGGAAATTAAATTACCACCGAGCAAAAATTGCCGAAATTCTGAACGTGGTCCGGACAAAAAAACGTAAAAAACTGCTAACGGTAGCGTATTTCGCATTCTAGGGGATTTTTAGTTGACCGTTAGTTCTGTAATTAAAATATTAGTTGATAAAAATTCCTTATAAAATACAATAAGTGTTTTGGCATCATTCCAGGTAATTTCACATCCAATTCATGTTTTTAACTTTTGTAGATTTTGTGTTATTCTAAAATTTGTAATCTTACTGTAGTATACAGTCGTAGAATTAGAAATTGAACTAACGATTTACAATCGAATTTATTACGATTGCTAATTGTTAATAAAAATATCGATTCTTACATTAAAATTCTTATACTAAAATTGTTTTTTTTTTAATCGATGAGTAGTAACTAATATATTAAAAAGATTGATTTGTTTCGACTAAAGCTTCGGTTAAATTAAAAGAACAAACCGACAAACAAAATTTAAGATGTTAAATCTACATGAAAGTTTCATTCTGAAAATAGTTCTGCGAATAACTGTGAAAGCAACCTTATAATGAATGGCAAAAGAGTTATTTCAGATTAATATAATCTTGTGTTCAACAGGTGATACTCTAATATCTAAAGTTTTTTTTTTGAATAGCAGTAAGTTTCTGTTGATTATTTTTATGCTTTATGTTATTTTTGAAAATGTTTGGTGGTTCTCCAAAATGTTAAGTTATTTACTATGCTGCTAAATTTTCACGTTTTCCTTTTATTTTCCCCGCATAGTTATTCTATGGGCGTTTTAGCAATTAACTTTTTATTATTAAGTTTCGGCCTGCAGCAGATGTATTATTTATTTACTGATAAATATTGAAAAAGATATACCATTATTTTATCAAAAAACATCTAAAGCAGAACGTGTTCTAAAGTTAATAATGTAATTTTTTGTCTTATGAAAAACTAGCTGTTCCCATGCGACTTCATCCGCTTTCGTTTTATTTTTATAGTTCACATTTGTCAAATTATCAATTGCAAATGTCAAAATGACAAGACAATGACAACCTTGCTTTATTAATGTTGGTAGCAACTTATGGTCTCTTTCCCACATCAGGGTTTTCATCCAAAATATTTACCCCCTAGATATAATGGCGTAAAATACATAGCCTAAATCATGACGTAAGTGTAGGGCTTTTTATTAAAAAAAGTATTATACAAAAATATGTTGTAATTTCTGACATCTTAGGCAACAAAGAAGTATGTGTTTACGCTATATTATAATAGTATAGATAAGTTGATTTTTGTTAATTTGTCACTTTTAATTTCTTTCCTAAGAATAAGAGATTTATACCACTAAAGTGACAAGTGGTCATGCCCTTAAAGTTGGCTTAATTTAATTAGTAAGTTAATCATAATTAAACATACCTTAGGTTTAAGTAGTCGTCAGCGTTCCGGAGAGAGGAAGCTCATATCGAATCGCAGCATGCGCGCCATCGTCAGTACACGTGTGGTCTCCGCGGCGTCAGCGACAGGACTGACTGCTGCTCCTGGACAGCTGTCAGCTCGCGATGGTGAAGTGGGCGTGGCGGTTAGCTCCGCCCACCCGCAACAAGTTGCACCCCTCTTTGGTAGGATCAGGGATTTATTTATTAGAAAACCTAAGGCTATTTGCACACTTTTGGACATTGGATTCGCATTGATAAAGACATATTTTCAAACTGGAAATAATAAAAATTTAGGAGACTCAAAAGTTCATCACTTTCAGAAGTTCATAGATATTTTATTAGCAAATCTAAACACTTTTTCAATTTCCTTAGAAATTATTTCTTATTAGCGGAATGAAGATTAAATGATTCAACGCCATGGTCTCATCTAAATTTAGTTTTGGTATATCTTTTGTCACCTACAATGGACCTTCAATTAGGGTAGGCAGTAGGCAACCGCCCAGGTCTCTGGATAAATAGGGGCGCCACAGATCAGTGAAAACATTGTCTTATATACGCTTGTGGACTTCCCTGTAAAAAGGGGCTATCGTAGAAATCGCTCTGTGTAGTAGTGTCAACGGCGGATTCAGGGGTAGGGCCATCGGGGTCATGCCCCCCCCCCCTGAGCTGGTTGGTCAAGAGCTTGATAAAATGCATTTCCATATTTTGTCAAGATCTTAACTTGACATAGTCCTGCTATGTGACCCTCTGGCGCCAAAGCTGGATCCGTCCTTGAGTAGTATAGCGTAGCATTGATACCGATAATGGTCGTCTATAGTTTTTGTTTGATGACAAAGTGTCTATATATAAGTATTTAGACAATGGAAACGTATAGCTATGATATATCTCTTTCAGTGAATGAAAATTATAAGATACCGTTTCTCACGTTTAAAATAAGAATATATTTTTCTAGTTTTATTCTTGAACGTGGTCTAAGTATTTGTATCGGCGACACGCCTACATCTCAGCCTGTGATCTTCGCAGATTGGACCAATCATCTGGGGGCCGCAGTTTTTCTCCCCTGGGGTCCGCATTGTCTTTTAATGTTGATTGCGACTCTATATAACTACAGCGCTGTATAAATGTATACTTTTAAATAATTTTGCATTTATTAAGTTTAAGAAGATATTTTTAAATTAAACTACAAGGTAAAACGTTGCGAAAAACAAAAGTAACTTAAAAACATGTTACCTTGTCAGTAATCTAGTCTGTTTACTTGATAATTATATTTAAAAACTTTTCTAAATGTTGTTCGAAGAATCCATACCATAGATACTTGCATAACCTTAAAATTTTACAAATCTAAAATAATTTTCTTAAAACTTCACTTTCTTAAGTATCTAAATTTATGTTATAATGTGATTGTATCTAGTAGCCGTGAATTATCACACAAGTTGTTTTTTAATTAACTTTAGTTACCGGAAAAATTCCTACATAAACTAATCTTACTTCTTACTTCATAATATTACAAATGCGAAAGGTTAGATGGATGTTTATTACAGTTTGTAGTCTAAACGGCTGAACGTATCTCGATGAAAATTGAGTATAAGGTAGCCTGGAAAAACACATAGGGTGCACATTTTTTTAATTCTACGAGGACGGAGTCGCGGGCGAAAGCTAGTTTTAAATAAGAAAACATTTGTTCTAAAACAACTTAAATATATTTTACAGTTGTAACAAAATATACATAGATATGTGTGGCTTTGTGAAAGATAACAACCCGCATGCTATCCATCTGACCGATCCCTTATCAACTTAGAACATATATCTTAAAATTCAATTATGTTATAATATAATGTAAACCTATAATATAACGTAAACATATCAATGACATGCTGCGAATACGCAGCATCCATTGTTATGCAGACGATAGCACCGGTGATGCACTGTACACGGCCCGCGCTAATGTTTCTCGGGCCATTGCCGATGAGAACCGGAACAAACTTGTGTCTGAGCTGGAGACCCTCTTGGGTGAAGTCTCGGATTGGGGTCGACAAAATCTTGTCGATTTCAATCCTAAAAAGACACAAGTATGCGCCATTACCGCTAAAAAAGACCCTTCGTCGTCAATCTCCGGTTCGAGAACACTCCCCTGGTTGCCTCAGCCAGTATCGGTATTCTCGGCGTTGACATATCGAGTGACGTTCAGTTTCGCGGTCATCTGGAAGATAAGGCCAAGCTGGCTTCCAAAAAGCTGGGTGTGCTCAGTAGGGCGAAGCAGTATTTCCAGCCGGGCCACCGCCTACTACTTTACAAGGCGCAAGTTCGGCCCCACATGGAGTACTGCTCGCACCTCTGGGCGGGAGCACCCCAATACCAGCTTCTTCCATTTGACCGCATACAACGGAGAGCGACTCGAATCGTCAACGACCGAGCTTTTACCGATCGGCTAGATCCTCTGGCCTTACGGAGGGACGTCAGTTCCCTCTGCATCTTTTACCGCATTTACCACGGGGAGTGTTCCGAGGAGTTGTTTGGAACGATTCCTGCCGCCGAGTTTCGTCATCGGACGACACGACAGACTGCCAGGTACCATCCTCACCATCTCGATGGCTGGCACTCCACAACCGTGCGGTTTTCGCGGAACTTTCTGCCCCGCACAGCCGCGTTGTGGAACGGTCTGTCCTCGGCGGTATTTCCAAACCAATACGACTTAGGGTCCTTCAAGAAGCGAGTTTATCATTTCCTCAAAGGCCGGCAACGCATCTGTAGTTCCTCTGGTGTTGCGGATGTCCATGGGCGTCGTTGACCACCTTGGTGTACACGCCGCTCGTTTGCCCCCTTTTACTATAAAAAAAAAAAAAAAAAACCCATTAAATGTCGTATACCATGAATAAGTTAATAAATCCAACTACATTATTAAACTAATTTAAACCGAACTGTTTAAGAGTTTTCTTGTGAAGATTTAGCGATGTTGTTTTTCTTAAATAATTTTATTTTACTAATGTTATAAATGCGAAAGTTAAGATAAGAATAAGAATAGAATAAGAACATCTTTATTAAACATTAAATATTTTATTGGTAAGCGAATTACAAGTAATAATGTTAAAAAAATAAAAAATCTTACAAATATTCTTAATAAAATTTGTGTACATAAAACAATTTAACAGTGGTAGAGCCCGCTTTAACATCTTCGCACGAATGGGCCGGCTCGCCCGGTGCAATACCACGACCACACAGAAAACAGGCGTGAAGTGGAAGTTAATTCCGCGTTTCGTCTGATGAGTGTGGTGCCGGAGGCCTAATTTTAGTCCCTTTTCCTTTCCACTCTTTTCTTGAGAGGAAAGGATGGAAAGGAAAAGTGGATTTCACGGTAGAGGAGATGCATTTGAAGGGGAAATGTTCTCTTATGTGTTTCTCCTCCTCCGTCAACGAAGAGTAGGCAACGCATCTGCAATTGCGGATGTTTATGGGCAGCGGTCGCTTTCCACTTCGGTGGATACAGGTGGCCGCTTGCTCGTTTGCCACCTTATATTATATAAAAAAAAATCATGGTAGGAAAAATTCTTCGACACTATAGAAGTCTTTTTGTATTAGCCATGACTTAAGACTTAAGACACCAGCCTCGCGTCATTTAAAAAGTTTATTTTTAAATGACGCGAGGCTGGTGGGCGTTGCGACGTGGTCCAGCAGGCGGTTGGCTGAACAGATCTCGACGATGTTTGGCATGTAGAGCATTGTCTGGAAGAACATGGCTACTTTTTTATTAATTCCATGCCAAAAGCTAGTTATTTTATAAATATTTTCTAATACACCAAAATCGTAGTGAAAGTTACAAAACAATTATTTTTCAAGCAAATAAAAACATAGAGAATGGTATTTAGAAGGAAAGCTTACGATGTCAAAGCCTGTATTTAATGTAATAACGTAATTGTGTTTGCTAAGTCTTGCTGGACAGTCATTAAAAGCAATAGATACAGAGGTTTGGAACATTTTTATGTACTATGAAATTATGAATATTATACATTCCTAGCCGTTTTTTTTTTGTAACATAAGGTGGCAAACGAGCAAGCGGCCACCTGAATCCGCCAAAATGGCGAAGCAACCGCTGCCCATAGACATCCGCGATCGCAGATGCGTTGCCTACCTTTATCCGACGGAGGAGGAGACGCACATAAAGAGGATATTGCACCTTCCTATGCATCTTCTCCACCGTTAAATCCACTTCCCCTTCCCATCCTCTCTTTATAAGAAAAGGGTGGTAAAGAGAAAGGGACTTAAATTAGGCCTCCGGCACCACACTCATCAGACGAAACACGGCATTGCGTCCATTTCACGCCTGTCTTCTGTGTGATCGTGGTATTACTGGGGGAGTGCCGACCCTGCAGTGCTAAGATGTTAAAACGAGCACTACCACTGTCAATGCCCTTCTAGCCCTTATTAAAGATTTTGTATTCGAGTACAAATAAAACAGTAAAATCGGTTTCACTATTGCTTATTATTTGATAATAAAATATTCTGATGCTGTCATTTTATGGTAACCGTAACATTAGTATAGAAGTTATGAAAAATAAAGGTTCTACTTTTAATATTTCTATAAAAACACTTCCAAAGCAGTAATTAAATAGACTTACTAACTAGCTGTTTCTTGCGACTTATCTCGCGTGAAATTAAAAAAAAAATTACAGCCTATGTTACTCACAGAAAAATTACCTTTGTAATGGTGAAAGAATTTTTAAAATCAGCCAAGTTGTTTTCGCGTAAATCAAATACATACAAAAATACAAATCTTTCCTCTTTATAATATTAGTATAGATTAAGACAATTAATTTGAACAAACAGTTGAGAACTTCTGGAGTAAGTAATTAAAGAAAATCAAATTAAATTCAATTGTTTCGATGCGAGCTTTTCTATTCACACAATACGTTAACACATCCAAGATGGCGGTCATCGTTGATAATGTCAACTTATCTGTCTGTGTGTCACTGACTGCGTTGAGACTGGTCGGCTTCTGGGCACCCGAGGGTCTGACTGTACGCGGGAAGTGGTGGTACAATGTATATGGTTTCTTTTGCTTCATGTTCCTTTTGGGTAAGTTTTAATTGCAAATGTCAAAATTCAAATGTACAAATCGCAACAAAACCCTTTGCCATTGGCTAACAATTACCCCTATTATGGCATATTGTGTTTGTGCTGATTTGTACTCTTCGTCCCTTTTCCTGCATGCAGGTTTTTTCCCATTTATTTACCTCCTAAGTTTAATAGCGTGTTAAAAGGGTAGAGCTTTTTATTAAAAAAACATGCTGTGATAGCTGTCAATAACAAAGAAGTACGATTTATTATATTAATATTAGTAACTAAGTATTATTATAAATAAGTACCGTAATAGTTGAATAAAAATTGTAATAATTAAGAGTGATCTGATGTCAAATGACGAACAAGATTTAAGGCCATCTACAACACAAAAGGTACTAAAGACGAGTATGCCAAAAGTTTCGATACAACTGCACTTTTACAAACCAACTACCACCAGGTAAAGTCGATGAGGTAACCTGTTACTCTGTCGCTTGATGATGATATAGTACAAGGAACCTGTTAAGATGAGACGCGGGTAAAGAAGCAGCCTAACAGTTATTGATCCGAATTCCACAGACGCAAAATTAGAGGAACTACAGAAAAATGATGTGTGTTCATCGTTTTTTTATCATCATTTTCCTTATTTAACCAGTATTTATTTCCACTAAGGTACATACATTATAATCCAAGTCGTGGATTTATTTTTAATCTGGGGCAACCTACCTCTGATGACGGAGACGGCTTTTCTGCTATTCACAAACCTGGCGCAGGTCGCCAAGTTCATCAACCTGGCGATACGAGAGAAGATGATAAAGCAGATCATCAATGAGGCTGACCAGTTATTGAAGAGAGAGCATACCGAAGAAGGAAAGGATATTGTGAAGCAGTTAGTTTTAGCTATTATTAGAAGGGGGCGCACACTTGTGACTAAAATATCTCACAACTGCTGTGCGGCTGCGACTGTCGATTGTTTCGCAGTCAAATCAACTGTTTAGTTGCAACTAAAAATCCAGTAGTGTGCGCACCACCCTAAGCTCATAGGAATCAAAGCGAGACTAACCAGTTGTGCGATAGTTTAGTCCAAGGTGTGCGCGCGCTCTTAATTTTATGATCGAATGTAGGAACTTTCATCACAGATTTCAATGCAGTTTTAGGAGAACTTAGAGAATAAAATCTATTATGGCGATGGTTGTCACTAAGAAGTAATTCATTAAATTAGACAAAAAGAGAAATTTGTGAGAATATTCTTCGAAATAAGAATGATCATATTAGTAGAAATCCTATTATTATTTACTTCTTTTGTCAAGTCGAATTGAATTATTTTTCTTTGTCCGTGTTTACAGATGCAATCGGGAGACAGCGATATTACAATTTGTGTACATGGCCATAACAATGGTGACGATGGTCGGCTGGGCTTCAAGTGCTGAGAAGAACAAGCTTCCTTTACGCGCTTGGTATTCTTAATAAAACATACCTATAATGCGTTATCAGAATTCCATATTCGGAACAACAGAGCCAATAATCACCTTATAGGAGAGTTCTTATGTAACTTGTTTATATTCGCGTCATAGTTATATTTCTGCATTACATGAGGGTCTCGCATATGAGATGTCGCATCGTTATATATGTTTACTGTAATTATCTGTTTTTTTTCTCCTCGTCTTACCAGGTACCCGTACGACACTCATCAATCTCCGGCATACGAGTTGACCTATGTGCACCAGGTGGTGGCGCTGTACGTTGCGGCCAATCTCAACGTGGGCAAGGACTTACTGGTAACATCACTGCTGGCGCAGTGTCGCTGTCGTCTGCGTCTCCTAGCCTTGGCTTTGACAACTCTGAGCCAGGATATCAATGTTGTCGGAAATGTGAGATATAAAAAGGACATGTAATAATTATTAGACGATGGTTATGTTGATTCTTACCCGCATTATATCGTTGTCATTTTTTTTTATAATTCTCTTCTTAAAATACAGTTTTGCAAAAGTGACATCTAGCGAAAGTTAATAGAAACATTTTTTTTTGACAAGTATACATTGTTCTTAAAATAGATGGCGCTGTACTAAGTTTTGTTTTCCACAGCGGCTTACAAAAGTGCAAGAGAAGATAGTGTCAGCGCGCCTTCGTGATTGCGTACTGCGACACCAGGCAGCGCTAAACGCTGCGGTGCAGCTGCAGACCTGCTTCTCGGAGCCTATCTTCGCACAGTTTACAGTGTCCCTCGTCATCATTTGCGTCACGGCTTTCCAACTAGTCTCTGTAAGATAAAAATTAAATCATTTAAAACCTTAATACGCTATTCAAAAATATTTATAGTAATATCTATTTCCAGCAAGTTGGAAACTTAGTACGCTTGTTATCTATGGGAACGTATCTACTGAACATGATGTATCAAGTTTTTATCTACTGTTACCAGGGGAACAAATTATCAGAAGAGGTATAATATATAATTTACCAAAAACATCTTCACTTAGGAGGGATCGTGGTCAAGGATTGGTTTCTTTATAATAAAAAATAGAAATATTTAATCGTTGGACACAGATAATTAATGCTATTCTTTTGTATTCAAAGGTGTTAGTTACAACAAACTAATCCTTTTGCCTTCACTTCCCACTAGATTTTACAGTACGCTTATCAGATATAAGCAGATTAACATGGAATATGATTCAGAGTGTAGGCGTGTGTGGTGCCGCGTACGCCGCTCCGTGGCACACGTACAGCACGCCGCTACGCCGCTCCTTGCTGGTGGTGATGGCGCGGAGCCGGCGTCCCGCACGCATCTCCGCTGGTGGTTTCACCGCGCTATCCCTTGCGTCCTTCATGGCTGTAAGACTATCGAAAAATGTTTCAAAACAACGCATTTTAGCGCAGAGAAGTACACTGCAATAGTTAAATTTACTCGTATAATTCCTATGAAACTAATACTGTTTTGTCTCATATAAGTTTAGTTACTTTATATTTTTTTCTTTTCAGATAATCAAAGCGTCGTATTCTCTGTTCACATTGCTGCAGCAAGTTGAAGAAAATAAGTAGAATTTAACATTGTCAATAAAAAGATAATAAAATAAATTTAAACGTTACATTATAATTATCTCCTTTTTTAATTTTGTAAAAATTATCTAACCAATATTATAAATGCGACAGTTTTGATCGATGTTAGAGTTTGTAACCTAAACTGCTGGACGGATCTCGATGAAATTTGGCATAGATGTAGAGGATAGTCTGGTAGAACATAGGGTATGCTTTTTTATTTTTAATAACACGCGTATGGAGTCGCAGGCTAATGCTATTGGCACATTCGTGCATGCTATACCTTAAAAAAAAGATTTTAAAGGTAGGAAATGTATAGAAAATTATATATGACACAGCTGTTGTACTCGTAAACCTGATATTTGCTTGGTTTGATTAAAAATGTGACAATAGCAAATATAGCAAAGCGATAGTTAAATTAATAGCAAGTTGGAGCGACACGTGACAATTATATAAACAAAGAGCATCGGGGTTAACAACATTTTTAAACACAAGAAAAAATCCAAAAACATTAAAAAGTGATAATCCGAACTTTCGCTCGGCCGTCAGAATGAATTGAATATAATTAAAATTAAAAGTGGAAATAAATGTGTGAAACTTATTTGTAAAATTAAATTCGTATTGTAATATTGTATGTTTGTATCAAAAGTGGCTGGCAGGTTGAATTTATTTTTTTTAAATGTCTTGAGTACAGATTTCATAACATGTTTATGTACGATTTTTTTCTTTCATTTTATTGTTACTCATATGTATGTGATAATTTCTCCCTATCCACTGCTACTACTGACGTGTGGATGATACCAAGGGTTCTCGCGGAAGATCAGCGCTGGTACTTTAATAGGAGCGTCCAGCATTTATAGCTGAGCGAGGACCCAATCCAGTCAGCATTGCAACGCTAATTTTAAATATTTCTTTTTATCTGTTCATTAGTTACGTTTCTCATTATTTTGTGTTTAATTACCTTTTTTTATAATTGTAGTGTTGGCAAGGATTAAACATTATTTTATTTTATATATTTTTTTATTTTATTTTAAGATTTAGATACATGACTAAAAGGCAAAATTAGATTATTTTGGCTTTGCTTAAATAAAATAAATGGTTTATAACACCTGTGTTATAATAAATTTATGTTTACCATCAAAATATATTACGTGTTATAGCAATTTAGTACTAAATTTTCTTTGATGTTGGTAAAAGTGGGTACACGATGTCTTCTTTCGTGGGTAAAGTTAATTCTACCCTCAGAATACCAGTTACCTTGTTCTTGTTGCTTGGTCTGTGGGCACCGAGCCACTTTACAGAGTTACGAAAGCGGTTGTTTATTATCTATACATTTTTCTCTTATATGTTTTTAGTGGGTAAGATTAAAAATATTACTAACTTTAAGAATCTTTTCTAACATAAGTCTCTGGGTTATATCTGACTCGAAGGACCAATCTACAAATTTCTAAGCAATTAAACGAATAAACTTAACATAAACAATTGCAGTTTAGTAACGTTGACGACAAATTAACAAATTTTAAACAGTGGTAGTGCCCGCTTTAACATCTTAGCACTGCAGGGCCGGCACGCCCGTTGTAATACCACGACCACACAGAAGACAGGCGTGAAATGGAAGCAATTCCGTGCTTCGTCTGATGAGTGTGGTGCAAGAGACCTAATTAAGGTACCTATCTCTTTACCACCCTTTTCTTATAAAGAGAGCATGGGAAGGGGAAGTAGATTTGACGATGGGGGAGATGAATAGGAAGGGGAAATATCCTCTTTATGTGTGTCTCCTCCTCCGTCGGATAAGGGTAGGCAACGCATCTGCAATTGCGAATGCCTGTGGGCAGCGGTCGCTTCGCCATTTTGGCGGATTCAGGTGGCTGCTTGTTCGATTGCCACCTTATATTATAAAAAGAAATTAGAGCAGAATGAGGCGAAGTAAACAAGTTGGGAGGAAGAAGGTAATTCGGCTTTCAGCATTTTGCTTATTCCATGTATCTCTTGCAGGCATTTATATAATTGTACAACTAGGAGATCTTTACCAAGTGTGGGGCAATGTACCTTTGATGACAGCCACCATGTTTCTCATCTTTACCAACCTCGCTTTAAGCGGTAAATTCATAAATATTGTGCTAAGGAAGACACTAATACAGAGAATGATCACTGAGGTTAAGGAGGAATTAGATGCAGAAACTAGAGACGAAGGAATGAAAATTATTGAAAGGTAACCTAAAAGATTGGCGATGAAACGGGGAAAGGTTGAAAGAATCCGTTACTAAAATGGGACTAAGGAGAAGGTGGTACAAACCTTGAAATTTGAAAATATCTTCGTGGCATTTACATTCCCTGACAAAATTATGTCGTTCAAATGCTATTAGAAAGATGTCTTGTTAGTGGTAATAGCAATTGCCTTTGTTTCTTTCCTAGTTGCGACCGAGAAACGACTATCCAATATTACGGATATGTCTGGCTGTCTTACGTCACTATACTAGGCTGGGCTGCCAGTGCTGAGAAGAATCAACTACCTTTGCGAGCTTGGTATGGAATTGCCCATTTTAATGAATTTACATGCTTAACTTAAGCTTCATTGAGATTGGGAAATAAAACATGCTGTCTTTTCAAGTTTCCTTCTTCCTTTTTGACCGACTTCCCAAAAGAAGGAGGTACTCAATTCGTCTGTATGTTTTTTTTATGTGTGTTACGGCATAACTCCGCCGCTAATGCACCGATTTTGATAATTCTTTTTTTATCCGAAAGGTAATACTTGCAGGTGGGTCCCATTTTTTTGGTTGATTTTTTAACGTTACCTTCCACAAGTTAGAGTGCGCACAAATTTGACTAAACTACCGCAAAACTGTTTAGTCTCGCATTGATTCCTATGTGGTAGTGCCAGCTTTAATATCTTAGCACGAATAGGCCGGCACGCTCGGTGTAGTACCACGACCACACAGAAGATAGGCATGAAATGGAAGCAATTCGGTGTTTCGTATAATAAGTGTGGTGCCGGAATTCTAATTTAAGTCCCTTTCTCTTTACCACCCTTTTCTTATAAGGAGAGGATGGGTAGGGGAAGTGGATTTGACGGAGGAGGAGATGTATAGGAAGGGGAAATATCCTCTTTGTGTTCGTCTCCTCCTCTGTCGGTTAAGGGTAGGCAACGCATCTGCAATTGCGAATGTCTGTGGGCAGAGGTCGCTTCGCCATTTTGGCGGGTGGCCGCTTGCTCGTTTGCCACCTTATGTTATAAAAAAAAGCTAATTTGGAGGTGTACACACTACTCGATTTTTATTTACCCACTAATGATGTGCGATTGTTTAGTTAAAGGTGTGCGCTCTTAAATATAGCGATAGACTGACATATTCTCACTTCAAGCGATTTCCTTCCAGGTATCCCTATGATGTGTCTAAAACCCCTGCATACGAGATTACATACTCCCATCAGGTTGGTAAATATATTTACTATTATTTAGACACTACACTTACTTTTATAACCCATAATTCCTATAACGAGTCATCCTCGTTACAATATTGAAGCACGATGTTATTGCAGTGCATAGCACTATTCCTCGGTTCAGCACTGAACACCAGCATGGACACCCTAGCCACGACCCTTATCTGCCAGTGCCGCTGTCGACTACGTCTGCTGGCTCTGTCCCTCACCACGCTTTGTGATGGAGCACTAATTGAAGATAAGGTAAAATATACGGAAAACAGCTAAGACTTGTACTAAAGGTTTTAGATGATACATTATATTAATAAAAAAATGTTTTGGCATCTTCTGTTTTTTTTTGGCCGATCTTTGATTTTTCATCTAAAAGTTTGCTGTCCACAAAATGTACTCGTACTTTCTTTGAATGTTCTTACCCAACCTTCTGTTGCTTTATCTACTCCACAAATTGTCTGTAATTCTATTCTTATTCTCTGAGTACCACAGAAAAAGGTTAGTTGATTTAATAACTACAGTTTCTTTAGGGTCATGTTTCATGTAATGAAGAGATAGTGGTGCCTCGTCTTCGTGATTGCGTCAAACGACACCAGGCGGCGTTGGAGCACGCTCGTCTCCTGCAAATCTACTTCTCCGCTCCGATTTTTGGCCAGTTTTTAGTATCTATGGTCATCATTTGTGTGACAGCTTACCAGTTGGCTTTTGTAAGTTCTTAATATTACTGCAGGACTCATAAACAGCGGTTTCTTTGTGGATTTGGCTAGTCAATAATTGTTTTTCTAGGAGTCATCGAGTATGATGCGAATTTTTGCTATGGTAGCGTATTTGCTGGACATGATGCTACAAGTGTTTCTCTACTGCTACCAGGGGAATGAACTGCTGGATGAGGTACAAACAATTTTATTTCCGAAATTCCTCCAGCGAACTTTCATGCCCTATTAATGCCAACTACACTCAGATCTGACAGTTTTATCCAACTATTAGAATGCTACAATTAGAGAGAACTAAGCGTGTGTAACTGGCTTTGTTACTGAAGAGCTAAAAATCCTTCTTAGTGTTGGTCTACTCTACTGATGTTTTTTTTATTTCTCAGCCGGTTTATCTGATGACTTTTTCAGAGTGAGAATATAAAAGAGGCAGCGTATATGTGTCCGTGGTACTACTGCAGCGTCCCCGTGCGGCGCTCCTTGCTTCTCCTCATCACCAGGAGTTACCGGCTTGCTAGATTACGGGCCGGGGGATTCACTGAACTCTCCCTCGCTTCATTTATGGGAGTTAGTGATTATTTCCACTTAACAGCCAGCCGTGGGAATCTGGCTGAAGCTATTCTTTTAGCAGTTGCGATCACACCAGTGGAATTTGATCTTTATCATAGATGCTCACAAATCGGAATTGAAATTTGAACTTGAAATTGAATTTCTAATTTATGTTTTTTTTTCAGATAATTAAAGCTTCGTACACATTCTTTACGGTACTTCAACAGGTGGAAGAGTAAAGCCAATTTACATATAATTGAAACCAAAATTAAAAAGTAGTAGTATATGTACATTTTATTGTTATTTTTTTCTGATCCTATTATATATGATTTAACAGTGGTAGTGCCCGCTTTAACATCTTAGCACTGCAGGGCCGGCAAGCCTGGTGTAATACCACGACCACACAGAAGATAGGCTCGAAATGGAAGCAATTCCGTGTTTCGTCTGATGAGTGTGGTGCCGGGGGCCTAATTTAAGTCCCTTTCTCTTTACCACCCTTTTCTTATAAGGAGAGGTTGGGAAGAGGAAGTGGATTTGACGGTGGAGGAGATGCATAGGAAGGGAAAATATCCTCTCTATGTGCGTCTCCTCCTCCGTCGTATAAGGGTAGGCAACGCATCTGCAATTGCGGATGTCTATGGGCAGCAGTCGCTTCGCCATTTTGGCGGTTTCAGGTGGCCGCTTGCTCGTTTGCCACCTTATGTTATAAAAAAAAATCCAATTATTACAAAAGTTTCAGCACGAAATTTCAAAGTTGTTTGATTTTAACCGACTTCAAAATTTCTCAATATGATCAGTAATTCTTTTCTTAAGATGTGACTAATCTTTTTGGCTTGCAATTTTTTTAATTTTAAGCCTACATATGTATTTATTAGTCATAAGTGGATAAGTCAAAGTATTGGGCCTTATTGATTTGGTTATCAACATATCAATGTTGATAGGCACAATTGACCAATGTATTACTTTATCAAGATCTAATAAATTAGGGGAGTGAATTTTGATGTAATTATTTTATTATGCAAGTGGAAGCCGCGTGGTAGCCAAATTTCGTTTCGTGATTAAGATATTTACATTATAAAGGATGTTCGAAAATGTTATGATATTTTTTGTAATAAAGAGGGGCAAACGAGCGGTAGGAACACCGAGGTAGTCAACGACGATGGACATGCCTAACACCAAAGGAACTACAGATGTGTTGCCGGCCTTTGAGGAAATGATAGGCTTGCTTCTTGAAGGACCATAAGTCGTATTAGTTTGGAAATACCGCCGAGGACAGACCGTTCCACAACGAGGCTGTGCGAGGCAGAAAGTTCCGCGAAAACCGCAAGATTGTGGAATACCAGCCATCGAGATGTGAGAGAGATGAGGATGGTACCTGGCAGTCTTAATATTGATTAAATTAAAATGAGTTTTATTGGGATTTCAATAAAGGATTAATTTGTTAAAATCTCTTGGTTCTATTTTTAATTGAGTTTAGCGGCTAACCGCTACAATCGACATGGTTTTGTCAATTTTTTGAAGATTGCTAAGTGAATATATTATCTTAACATACGAGTATAATTTATGAACTATGTATGTATAAGTTTATAGTAAACTAGCTTTCGCGCGCGACACCGTCCGCGTTGTATTAACAAAAAAAAGTAGCTTATGTTTTCTTCAAGACTATCCTCAACATTTATACCAAATTTCATCGAAATCCGTTCAGCCGTTTTGGCTACAAACTCTAAGTAACATCCATCTAAACTTTCGCATTTATAATATTAGTATGATATATGTGTTTATAGTAAACGATAATGTACAAAACTTTAGGCCGTTAATTTTAGTGTAAAATTAGAATAAGTATTTTGCTTTAAAAGTTTGTGTGACCGCCCTTATGGTTATCGATTTTGAAGTAAAAATCTATAGAATCGTGAGTCGGTATAAAATTTTAAAATGAAACGATAAGGACACGAATTGAAGGCGTGTTGATGACGCTACATGATTGTAGATTTTCATTGGCGAAAATTTTAATCGATAAAGCTACGTTCACATTGTAAGATTACATACATAACTAATCATACTCCGTACTAATACTATAGATGCGAAAGTTTAGATGTATGGATGTTTGTTAGAGTTTGTAGTCTAAACGGCTGAAAGGCTTTTGATGAAATTTGACATAGATGTACGGATAGTCTTGAAGAACACATAGGCTACTAACTTTTGTTTTTTTTTTTTAATTCCACGCGCACGGAGTTGCTGGCTAAAGCTAGTAAATTTATAATACTTTAAGCAGTAATAATATATTTCAATAGTAAAGGATTTTTTAATTCGGTTTAGTTGTTTTGAGTAAGATTTTTTTATGCAATGAATAATAATTGCATACAAAAATGCAAATATTAGTACCTATAGTAAGATAGAAGAGAGATAATTTAAATAAGTAATTAATTACTTTATTGCATTTTTTAAGTAATAACTAACTTAAATATGTAGACTAGAACTACAGTTGAATACTTTACTTTGGTTATTTAATAACTTTAGTTAATATTAGGGTTGTAACGGTCGCTATTTTAACGGAAGTGGATGCGGATGCGGAGGCGAGGGGCTCCACCTCTGTAGAAGCGGAGGTTAACGGAAGCGAAAGCGGAGGTCAATAATAAAATATTAATTGCGATTTATTAAAGAAATAAAAACAAAACTACGTTAATACAAAACACAGATTGTTACATGATTACAAGATACAGTTTATTATGCAAATATAATGTATAACAATTATTGTTTGTTGACCTAGACTGCACGCGAGGGCCGCATAAACGATACCCAATCGCCAAACTTCGTAATAAAACGTAAATTAACCTGTGTTATAAGAAATAACGGAAGCCGATGCGGAGTTAAAATTCCTAGCAGAAGTTCCACACTTGCGGACGCGGAAGCGGAGGTCCGTTACAACCCTAGTTAATATGTAGTGAAATTGACGAATAGTCTGGGATTTTCCCACTACTTCAAGTTAAGCAATTTTATTAAAATAGCGCAAATTAGGTTAGAGTAGAGACCGTGAAGTTTTTTCTCAGCTATTTGACAATGAACACTTAACATATGTAGTTACGTGTCGCATTATACCAGTTCCGCTATGGTGAGAGTGTCGTATACACGTGTTTCACAGTTTATGTGTGAATTATGAGAGAATCTTATGAAGACCTCTTTAAGTGGTTAGTTTTAAAAAGTACATAGTGATAACAATAACGTTGCTTGAGAAATTAGTTAGACGAATTTGTAATTTTGTAATTTTGTAATTCATTCAAACTACGGAACCGTAAAAAGAAATAGGATATTAAAAAAACAATTGTGAAACCCACCTTAAAATATTCAAAAGAAAAAAGATAAGTGAATAAACTATAAAAGTGTAGATTGTCGTATTGATAATGACTCAGCTCGGAAGATGTACAATATGATCAGAAGTTTGGTCCTCTTGTTTGTGGCGAGCTGCGTCTATAGCCAGCGGGAGTGTTACTGGAATGCACAGTGCCCCTACCTCCTGTATTCCACGAAGACACCTTATGACACCATTCGAGGGGATATTAGAGATCAGCCGACCATAGACAGTAAGGTTTCTTAAACTCATATCAACCATTTTTTAATAATACATCACTTTCATGATGAAGAAAGTGGGGAAAAAACCGGGAGTCAAACTCACAGCCACAAAATTGATAGTTAGAACGTAGCATCTGGAGAAGGCTTCAGGAGTAACATCGAAGGTAGAAGAACATAGTTTACACTTGACCAGTACTTACCCTGGAGTCTTTGTATCCAAGATCATTAAATGATGTTGGTTTATACATGGTTAAATTGTGGATTCTACTCAACAAAGTTTTTTACCTTTAGATTGCCAAGCCGTCAGCATCTGGTCGTTGCATAGACATGGCAACCGCAACCCCGGCTCCAGCGTCACGGACAGGATTAAAGTTGTCGCCGGCCTAAAGGACGAGATCATACAAAGCTTTGAAAACGGCAGAGGACAGCTGTGCTCACAGGTTAGTCATTTCAACGGAACGTTAGATTGATAGAGCATATTTAAAATCTGAAGGTGTAGTAGGACCTCCCCCGAAGCGACTGATTACTGCTTAGAGTCGACGCACACCTTTGACTTAACTATCGCCTATCTTAGTCCTGCACATTACTCAATTTTTAGTTGTGCAACTAAACAGATAAATTGGCTGCGAAACAATCGACAATCGACTATTACACAACAGATGGGCGATAGTTTATTTAAAGGCATTTACATTTAAAAACTAACAAGATACCTAATAGCTAGACATTTACACCTTCCTATATTTATTTTATTCTCAGGATGTTGATAAATTCCGTAACTGGAAATGGAATGAAACCCTCGAAGTATCCCAGTCTTTCCTAACCGGGACTGGGTATGAAGAGATCTACGATATTGCTAAACGACTTCGTGAGAGATACCCTCACTTACTGCGAGGGTCTGATGACGACTACTACTTCAGGGTGACTAACGAACAGCGGACTGTCACCAGCGGCATGGCTTTCGTTCACGCTCTTGCGGAAGGAACCAATCTCAACCTAACTGTAGATGGACCTTATGAAAGGGATGATTTAATTAGAGTAAGTGTGCAGAATACTATTTCTGTAATGTCATTATTAATTTGTTTAAGGGGAATAATGAATTAATTCAATTTGAGACGAAAAAAACTCCTAAATTATTCATCAGAACCATCTTTGTTAACTCTACTCAGCATATTATAATTAACATCTTTTATGGTTTACAGCCGTATGAAAACTGTGATAGATACCAGCAGGAGGTGAAAGGTGGCCCACAAGTGGAGGCCGAACTTGAAGCTTATTTTGAATCAGCTGAATACAAAGCCGTGAGTTTTCTCATCAATGTTAACAAATTTGCACACCTAACTAAAGAAAAAGCATGTGTTATATGATTTAACATTACATTCTTCACAGGTACAAAATAATGTCCAAGAACGTCTGGGCATACAAACTCAACTATCTGCAGAAGACGTATATTCTATTTACGAAATATGCCGTTTCTACCGCTCCTGGACGGAGACCAAGCTTTGCCCATGGTGTGCCGCCTTCTCCGACCAGGACCTCATTGTCTTGGAGTACAGAGATGATGTACGGCATTATTACAGGAATGCATACGGTTCCTGGGTAAGCAAACTGAATTTGATTGGCATCTATCTATGAGCATTACAGAAAATCTAATCTGATGTTACTTAGTGTCAGATAACGCTTTTATCTCAAAACCATACAGTTTTCAATAAAGTGAAATAAAATGTCAAAAAAAGGAAACTAACCAAATGGTGTTCAAATCGATCTTTAAGTGTCAGATTATCAAAATAACTAAAAGATTATAGTGGACTATTTTTTTTATTTCTTTTCCTAAGGTACCCGGGAGTATTGGGAGTAATTTGGTCAAGAATCTTTATGAGAACTTCGAAGCTGTAGTCAATGGTACGGGAAAGAACGTAGTTTCCTACTTCTCGCATGACACTATGATGGAGATGGTCTACTGCGCGTTGGGACTCTTCAAAGATGACGCACCAATCAGAGGAGCAGTCAGGAATCCGAATAGACTATGGAAGACCAGTTATATCGCTCCATTCTCCGTTAATATTATTGCTGTTTTAAATACGTAAGTGTGAGAAATTAACTAGCTGTTCCCGTGGGGCTTCATCTGCGTGAGATTATGAATATGTTATTATATTGTTGACATTTGTCAAATTATCAATAGCAAATGTCAAAATGACATGACATGACATGACAACCTTGGCAATCTTGCTTTATTGATGTTGGCAGCAACTTATGGTCTCTTTCCGACTTTAGGATTTTTATCCAAAATATTTACCCCATAAGTTTAATAGCGTAAATATAGAGCCTAAAGAGTGACGTGAGCGTAGGGCTTTTTTTATTAAAGAAAGAATTATTCAAAAATATGCTGTGATTGCTGACATCTTACGCTACAAAGTAGTGTGTGTTTACGCTTTATATTAGTATATATATAGATTACAGGCAGTTTAGTTTTGTTCCACTTGATGACTAGGAACAAGATACACTTATAATATTCTCAATCGAGTCTATTAGGTCCTTAATCTCAATAACAATCGATATCTTTGTTTGGTGTATATTATTGTATAATTAGATTTTATGATTATATATACTAATCTATATCAGTACTGATATTACAAAGAGGAAAAATGTATTTTTGAATGTATTGTAATAGCTCAAAAACTATTGGGCCGATTTTAAAAATTATTTCACCATTAGAAAGGTAATTTATCTGTAAGTATCATCTCTTCTCTCTCTCTTCTATTCCTATGTCCCCAAAGTGGGGCTGAGGGCGTCCACAGTACGCCGCCAGCTCGCTCTGTCTTGGGCTCTGCGTTGTATTTCGGACCATGACAGCCCGATTACCTTCAAGTCGGCCGCCACTGAACGCCGCCAGGTTTGTTTAGGGCGGCCACCCATGTAAGTAACATGGGCTATTTTAATTTCACGCGGGCTAAGTCGCGGGCAACAGCTAGTCATTATTATATTATATTATAAATATGATTCTTTCTACTAAAACGTTTATCTCTATGGCAGGAAGTTTCAAGTGTAATATTGTAAGAACACGATAATTCATTGATAGATTATTTATATCAGTAGTTGAAGACAGTTGATAACGTAAGCTCTTGCATCGTGTGCGCGACGTGATGCCTGCTGTATCGCTCTCGATTGCTTTTATCCGTGTTTGATAACAAATGTATACATTCTCGGAAGCGTACAGTCACACTCTAACATTAACCAGTATTTTTATTTCAATATATTAGTAGATTTTTGTTAATTCACTAATATTTTAACCATTCCAACTAAGTTAGACGTGTGCTAGGATATGTTTCACAGTAATGGCGAATGGCGGGATTCGAACCCTCGACCACAAGATCAAGTCCGTATCCAAAATTATTACATTGACAAATGTTTCTAAATCGTTTGCCGGTGTTTTAAGTTTTAGAGCGTGCGAACACATGGAACTAAACTAACGCGCCATTTTCATGCGATTGTCTGTTGTTTCGCAGCCAATTCAACTGTTTAGTTGCACAACTAAAAATCGAGTAGTTTGCGCACCTCCATATAATCATAAGAATCAAAGCAATACTAAACAGTTGTCTGTCTCTTGTTTTCACGAATCTGTTGAAACTCTATCAATAAAAGACTATTACATTTTGTTCTTACTTCTATGCATTAGGATCGCGAATAACTTGGACGGCTCGCTTCGCTTACTGTATGAGATACATTAAAATTCCTAAAGAATAGAGCCATGAAATTTCCTTGTTCAGAATAGGTTTTAAAAATTTACGTTTTATCTGTTTCAGATGCCAAGAATCAGACACCCAGACGTATCGCGTGCAGTTCTTTATGAACGAACTAGTGACGGAACTCTGTCCGTTAGCTGGTTGTACTTGGGAGCAGTTCAGAGAGAAATTCCAGAAGTTTACTGAAGCTAATCTTGATTTCTGCAGCTTGGAGAGCAAGGTCAATGAACCGGAACCCATTGGCGGAAAAGCATCGACCTTTACTGCGGTAATTAACTTCTTAATGGTGGTGGAAATTATTGTTTATTTCATAAGATATTAGATAAGAGAGATAAAGACTTATTTTATTAAAGATATAAATACTTAAAGTACTATATTCTGTTTTTCTTATATCTAAAAATAGTGCTCTAGTCCCCGGTTCTGTTATTTTTAGCAGTTTTAGAGCACTAGTTTAAGATATGCTTTCCCTTTCACTCTGTAAAAATAAAGATATGATATGCAGGTAATTAAATCTTTGCTTTAAATTGTATTTCTACGTATTTCTATAACTGGTATTGGAGGAGCAATAACTTGTGTAATGTTTATTATACGTGAAATGGCCTTCTTTACTTTATGTGATGTTTTTTGTAGTGTGTAACGAAATATATTTGATTTTAATATTTATTTTTAACTGAATATATCATTGAATGAATAAGTGGTTTTTAACGCTGTTATTTATAAATAACAGCGTTAATAACCACTTATTCATTCAAATTGTACTGAAATTCATGTCCTAAAAAAATCCTATATAAAATAGTGGTAGAATACTTTACGATAGTATTAAAATAGACGCTATTGGAATACAGATTATAGGAAAGTTGTATTTGCATCGAGATGACGTCAACGGTATGTTAAAAACAACATTCTAGAAAGACAGAGACGAGGCTAATGGAAAATCAAATAACACCTTCTGAGTCTGTACTGATGGTAAGACGCATTTCTAAAGAAGTGAAAATTATTGTATTTTATTTCAGGATGACGAAGACTAAAGAAACTCTACTATTTGTTAGATGCGATTAAATTGTGATATAATTTATATACTTAATAGTAATAAACGATTATTAAAATAAACGTGTGGTTATTTATTTCATGAAACAATTAGAGCGCGGGCACAACTTCGACTCAACTATCGCATATATTTTTGACCGCGCGCGAACGCGCGACGAAATTTCGGGTCATTTTTGCTTTCTTTGCTTACGTAGCCTAAACTATAAGACCTTCATAAAAATAATGTATGGAAGAATTGTAGCCCTTTAAATTTGCTAAATAAAAGTCCGCGACAGCATATATCTATCTATTAAGGTTGTCGCACAATAACCAC